CAAAAAAGCTTCCGCGAGAAAGACCACCCCACCAAGAAAAGGCAGGGGGTTGGGGAGCAGTAATCAGTCTCGCGGGGGGGGGGGGGGGGGGGGGGGTGACGTCTGCGTACGCGCGTTGTGCTAAGAGAAGTAGATGATCGCACAAAAAATACTGAGGATATCCTGCTGGTGCATCGGAAGTCGCTATTTTGTCGTGCTTCACAACCATCCCTGCTCGAGCGTATCGCGTACTCTCGAACAAAAATTTGCTCCCAGAAGAATTGGATCGACAAGAAATATCTTCTTCGGCGGGAGGGAACGCGGCAATATAACAGGAATACATCACCAGAGATTGGAGCATTTTTCGTCGAGAGGCTATCTGGGAGGCAGATGGAAGAGGGGAGCGACGGCCGGAAATCACACAAAGGCCTGGAAGACAAGAAAATGTTCGGTGCTCAACACGGAGCTCAACGTATTGGTAAGACGGAGATGCAACTTTTCGCGGCGGGTGCATGCTCCGAAGCTCCCTTTCAAGTTTAATCGGGACTGGTTTCGGAAACAGATTTAACGATATCGCGTCAACTTCTTCGACAAGCGGCAATTGCTGCATCAACGACGATCAACAATTCCATGCAAGATTCCCTGAAATTTGTTGACCCGCTCCTCTCCGAGCCCATGAAACAATATCAACAGTGCATGCACAGTCATCTTCATCTTCTCTGTTTGGTAAAGCACTCACCACTCACCTCTACCGCACTCTTTCTAAAGGCACTCGCCTCGCCACAGCGCAAGCATCTTCATCTATCCTGGAAGCAATCACCTCTACCGCATGGCATTCATTTACACTCTTTCGTAAAAGTCACGCACCTCAACGGCAGCGAAGGCGACTAGCCTCTCGGCGAAAGTGGCGTCGCTGCCGATCCACCTCATCGCCCAGTCAGCTGCACGGATTCCATCGTACAGACCAACGAACAGGAACAAAGAGTGACCGACAGATGCATGCGCGTGTGGTTGCATACGTAAGTCGGAGGGGAAAAAACAGTTCCGAAACGGAGTAGCACACTATTACCGCAGCGGACTGTCGGGGATTGAGTCAGGGATTCGCGTGACCGGCTGGTCGCAAAAATGCCGCAACCAGAAAGCCAAAACCAAGGACCTCTGTGGCAAAAAACGCTCATTTCCTCTTCCATGTGTAGAGCGATGAACACAACTCTTCGCCCGTGTACGCCTGCCGATCCGATGTACGAACCATGACACGCATTGCGTTGTAGTTGTAGAGAAAGAAACACACGAGAGGGACCGGCGAAATCACACCCGCCTCGCTTCGAACACCACTGCTTCTTCCATCTCTCAAAACAAACCACTTTTGTTCAGGGCAGTGGAGGCGTGTCTGGGCTTGTTGCATCGTTGAGCGGTATCTGTGTGTGTTGAGATGGACAGCTGTTGCAGTATATGGTGCCGTCGTCATGTTCGAAATTCAACTGCGGGTCCCCGATCGACCGACCTTTCTGCTTGACGCAAGGGATGTCGTTGTAGGCGTTGAAGAGGTTATCTCTCTCCTGCTTGTCCTTGATGTACGTGTCCAGCAGCAGAGCGTACCTTCGGGTTTCCGCAACCGAAACCGCCATCCACGTCCGTCATACATGCGGCGAAAGAGAGAGAGAGAGGTGTCGAGTCAACATTAGGATTTTCATAGGGTCGAGAGCCGTACAAGTATGTATGCGGAGGCGGGGCGCGAACTGGCGAAGCCGCCCGGCGTTCGCAGCAAAAATTTAACGAAGATTTGATTGATTACCAGACACGTACTAAATAGTCTGCAGGACAAATGTCAACTAAAAAACACTCGTTCAAAGCTCTGAACGCAAAGAAAAAGGGCGGGGACAGTTAGCCTCTCGTCGGAAACGGTGCCCGAGCTTTTCCACAGCCCCGGGTGACTTTACGCAAGCCGTGCTTGTTATTCGAAGAGCGCTTCGAGCTTGGCAACGACTTGAAGAGATTCGACTCGTCACTGCATCAACTTCCCGTGATCTTACACATGGGCCCTCAGTTGCTATCCACAAATGTTAATGCATTCATACGCGAGTGGAGCATTTCACGTTTGTTATTTTTGTCTTTACGACTTACATCTCCTGGTGTATCGACTCCATTGCGATCTGGAAGCCGTAGAAACATCGGGCCTCGGGGAGCTGCACCTCCTGGCTGAACCTCTCCACCTGAGTATGGGCGAGCATCAACAATCCAGAGCCGACCAGAGGAAAGAACACACCAAGTGACCATCATCAAACACTGCTGTAACAGACCGAACACATGCTACAGTTGACCCTGCACACGATATCGGGCGTTCGAAATGCTACCACCCGATGTAGTGTACACTTACGTTGGAGGTGATCACATGTCTTGCTGCTGCCCCCAATTGGATTGTGGCGCCAGCTACTGGCTTTTTCGCGAGTTGAAGAAAATACGAGCCACTGACGAATGTGAAAGGTCCTTTTGTATCTCTACGGACGGGTCATAAAGATTCACGGCAGTAAGAATGCCGTGCTACGGCTGATGCATCAGCCTATTCCACCGAGACACGAGGGTGGAAGCATTCCCAGTCGCCGCTTGATATGAGCCGAAACTAGCAAACATCATGGAGCTGGTGTACACCGCCCCCAAGGCTGGAACTGTACAGTCTCACCAGGTTCTCCATGACGATCCCGTCACTCGCGGCGAAGAAGGCCAAGACCATGCTGATGAAGTGCTGCTCGTTGCCCGTCAGCGCTTCCCAGTCGCGAGAGTCCTGCAAGTAAAGTATTCCAACAACAACAGCGTTAAAGCAGCAGCAGCTGCAGCAGCAGCAGCACTGGCAACAGCAGCACTCCAAGCAGTAACAACACCAAGCAACAGAGCACGAAAACATCGAGACACGAACAAGAATACAGCGCCACCACCACCGCCAACAACAACAACAACAACAACAACACTGTTGGTATAAAGCAACGCGAGCCGAGGCCAGCTTGTCCTGCATGCCACGCGCTGCGGATGAGCACTACATACGCGACCTCTATTTTCTGCGTTGGCCTGCATAAGTCAATGTTGCGGGCATCCGTGCAACAAGGCCACGCATGCCCCACGACGACTTGCAAATGTGAGCGGGGCACAATATTATTGCCCAACTTTGTTGTCGACAACTGCCCTTGAACTGACAAATGCAGCGGCCTTGGCGCAGGCACACGAGACCGTTCGGTTCGAGCGGCCTCTGTCAAAAAACAAGCACGTCATAGCAAACCTGGCTGAGGTCGACCTCCTCGACAGTCCAGAAGCTAGCCTTGGCCTTCTTGTACATGTCCCACAGCTCCGGGTGCTTGATCGGGAACAGCACGAACCGCGACGGGTCTGCCCGACAGATCGGCTCCACGAACGGAACGCCCCTCGCCGCCTCCTTAGCGCCGACGGCGGATCCGACCCCGACGGCACCCCCAACCCCGACAACGCCTCCATCTCTCTCCAAGGGCGTCTTTTCGGCTATCGCCACCGCCGGTGATGCGGACCGGGCGGCGTTTACCTCCGTGTCCGTCGCCTGTGATGATGATGGTGACGATGCTGTCGCCTCGGCCTCCCGCCAGACCACACCCCCACCTACCTCCTCGCCCCTGCTCCTGACCCCCGCCCCTACCCCCGACGTTGCCACGCCAGTTCTCCCTGGTTCTGCCTTGCTGCCCGTCCACGCGCTAGGCTTTGCTGTCGGGGTTGGCGCCGACACCCCTGCTGGTGCCGAGCTTGTTGGTCGCCCAGTCCATCGGGTTCTGTCCTGTTGGGCGACAGGTCGGTGGTGCCCAAAGCCTGCGGGGGAGGACGCTGTCGCCGCTGCATTAGATCTCCGCACCTGCGAAACGACGAGGCCACCCAGCGGATGAAAGGGGACAACAGTGTTGGTTATTTGGCTATCTAGATATGTTTATTTGTTTGAAACCCCGTAGTAGGTATAGACTACGGGCTTCCGAGTCCCCAGGCCAAAAAATAGCAGTTCGCTCCGAGAGCTCCCTGTAACGGCTAAGCTGGTTTGCGCACGCTATGTCGGTCAGCGTCTGAAAGCGACGCATGCACGGGTCTGTTTGTCTGTGGGTCTTGAGCTTCTTCGCGGTGTGCCCGATTCGCCCGGAGGTTACAGGGACACGACGATCGTTCGCCATCGACCATCGTTAAAAAAACCAAAGGGCGGGCAATAAAAAGCGCGCAGTATTATAGTATTCAACACCAGTACTTGTAGACAAGCTTGAAACGTGAAATCTGACGCACAGCTGACTCGATTACCAGCTTTTCGTCTCTAATCTCCCCCCCGCTGCTTCGATGACAGCGCCAACAGCTCGAGGTGCACTTAGAAAAGTAGATATCATGATCATGATTCGACCGTTACAAGCGCACCCATATCCAAAACACGTGTTCGAGAGAGAGGGGCCGGCGAGGGGGTGTTCTGTGGTCTCACGACACCAGCGCGATTCAGCATCAAACCACCCACATCGCCGCCCATAGGAGTCAAGAGAGCGGGCATGCATCGTCCGAAGGCTTGCACTGGCGGCGTTGCGGGTGTACATACCATGCGCGCGCAAACGTGAGGTGCGCGGCCGCGATCTATTTACTTCGTTCTGACCAGCACCCAGCGGCGGTGCCTGGTTGCCGTTCATTACATGACACGTCAACTGACACACACAAACCACCCTCGCAAAGGCATACACTCCTCACCTCCACCGGTCTCGCAATGCCTACCCCACCGTCACCGTCGGCTTCGCCCTCGGCGTAGCTCCCAGCCATGCCACCGCCGTTGTGGCCTGCTGCACCTCCTGCGGAAGAATCCTGACCGCGGCAGCCGTCCACCGCACAAGCGCTGCCGCTGCTGCCGCCGCCGCCGCCGCCGCCGGTCGTGATTTGAACGCCGTCGTTGTTGCGTGTTCTTCCCCGTGGGGTGCGCTTTTCGGCCAAGGCCTTTGCTCCTGTGTCTGCCGCTGGTCTTCGGGGCACTTCGACGCTGCCGTTGGCGGTTGAAGCCAGCAGCAGCGCTGCTGCTAGGCACGTGGTCAAGCGATGCGCAGCTCTCATGGCGGCTTGGTTGTGTAGTGGTTGACTGCAGTGCTGTATCTCAGACCCGTTGTTCGGCGGAGATTTGGGCTGCCTCCCGCTACCTGGCGCAAAAGAAGCGAATGCTGTCGGCGGGCACAGCGTGACGAGATTTGCGTGGAGTGGAGTGTCGTACAAGCTGACCTATCCAGACTTATCTCCGCCCTCTCTGCGTCCACTGTCCACCGCCAGGGGGAGACGCAAGAGGGGGGGAACCCAGACAAGAATATTGACATACATAACTTTTGAACATTCATGCCGATGACGATGCCCCAACAGCAAATCGAAAGACCACACACCCACCTGGCACCTGTGTGCCTACAGCTGCTGTAGCAGGCCAGGTCATCCAGATGACGCCAAGATGCTCGCGCGTAGCGGCCTTGGTCCTTTGCACGCTAATTGGCCCGGCGTTGGGCCACATGAACTCTAAGGTCAACCTTCACAGCAGCAGCCGCAGGCTAGAGGAGGATGGGAGGAACGAGTCTGACTCTGTCAACGCCAAATGGCAATGCGAGCCCAGCGAGGTATGGATGGATCCACGTGCGAAAAGCGTGCACTGGGCTGGATAGCGATGAGGGACGCGTGCCACCGTCCCTGCTGTGCTTTATTTGTGGCCTGTGCCCAGTGGAGGTTTCATCGAAAGCAGCCGAACAGGCGCGTCATCGATCTGGGAGAGGGCAGTCGGAGAGACAAGAAAAGAGTTGCACAGAGCAGCAGGCACAGATGTTTCTGATTGGATCAACCGGTCGATCATGTGTAATCCAAATCATGGACTCTATCTTTGGAGTACTACTACTACTGCTGCTGCTGCTGCTGCCACGAAGCATGAACTTCTTCAAACGTGCCGTAGCGTAGTTTTCGGAACAAAACGCACACTAGCAAGTCGCTCGTAACCTGACAGCCGCAACGTACGCGCCGAACCCACGTACAGCAGGCCAGCTACTATACGCACATTGCAATTGCAGCGTCTCGCGACACCAAGCAAGCGATGGTTGGTGGGATACCGTAACTTTCCCAGAGAAACAGGAACGAATCTACTAGCATAGAATCCATGCAATTTCCAGACAGTTTTTGTGCTACTGCTGTTGCAGCCAGTGATGCATACATCTGAATCCACGGTCCTGCTGGATACATGTGTCGCGGGTAAACGGTTGCCAGATAAGCAGACGTGAAACGTTCTTCAGTTAGATTTTGATGGTGGTGAGGTGATGAGATAATTCAGGAGAATAAATACACACACAAAGACTACCCATTCGAGATATGTACAGTCTACCCACAGTCGAGCGGGATGTGGTGGAGATAATTGAGGAGAAATAAATACACGCACAGAAAGACTACCCGTTCGAGATATACCCACAGCAGTCGAACGGGATGTGGTGGAGTCTTTTCAGTGAGTGGAGGAAAACCGGCTGGGTACTGAACTTTTTTCGAGCCTTTACAGTCTACACTGATGATTTATATTAGTGATGCCAGCTGGTGCTAAGTACAACAACATCTGTGTAGGTAACCTACATTACGTCCCCTGTAGGTTCTCTACTGGGTCAACGACAAAAGATGATGTTTGAGCGTTTGAGCCAGGATCCGGATAGTACGGCGGTGATTACCGCGCCTACCGTCCCACGTTATACACAATGTGTGTTGCCCTCATCCCACACAATCATTGCTGTTTCTGTTTTGAAAGCAGCGCATGCGTTGTGTTGCCCATGGACTGAAAAATTGTCATACAATCGCACATGTACTGCTGAGTAGATATTTTTGTGACGATTGGTCTATCTCCGGACTCGACCGCCTACAACAGCAGTGCTGTCGGCGGACCAGCGCCCTCCTCTTCATAGTAAGGCTGCGGGCGAGCAGTCGCCCCGAAGACGCTGAACAGGTTCGGTGCTGTTCGCGATGAAAGCATGACAGCTGCTGGTACAGTTAGAGGATGTGCGTGCGCAATGCACCAATTAGAACTTACAGCAGTACCGCGACGTTGGAAGCAAAGCAGTATAAATAGTGAATCCGACGCTCAATTGCGCCGCCGAGAGAGCATCTCATTGGCGTCTCTCGTCTCCTTTGACAAATTGCTTGTTATTCGGAACTCGGCCAGGATGTGAACATCAAAGCGGCCAACGGGTACCACCTTCGAGGGGTTAACCTTGGATCGTGGATGGTGCTCGAGCCCTGGATCACGCCTTCCATGTTCTTCCAGTTTCTCGGAAAGGTATGATATCTCCCGCAATGTCGGTTTCGTGTATGTACGTGCGGGGTGACTTGACTGGCTGCCTGTGCTGTGGAGGTACATACAGTAGCCCATACCACTTTTGCCTTTTTCTATCTCCGTCTCTACCTGATAAGAGACGACGAGTGTTAGGACGCCATTTAAACCCATTTACTCATTTGACTCCCGTCCAGCAGTCTAGGCTTGGGTACGAACAGCATGCACCGCATGCTCCATCACAGAATCTCTCTCATGAATAACACTCCCGCACCGAGTGGACCGATGCTACCGCTGATGCGCTATAATGTTGGAGTCGGTTTGGCCCGCCCCTTTTTGGTGGTCGATTCGATTCGATCTCAAGTGGCGTGTTGTTGCGGCAAAACATCTGTCAGTGCACAGTGCACAGACAGCGCCCGTGCTGAAGAATTTAAAGAACTCCATGTTCAACATTGTATCGAACAAACTGTATGAACTCGAGTTCCCTACACTGAAACCTATATGACGGCCACTTGTAGCCCACAAGAGGAACTACTGCAAACGAGAACCCCTGCCTCGACCAAAGCTGTAGTAGAGGTTCTTTAGTAGGCGCGGGCGCTCTCTGTACTACAATACCCGCCTGTTTGTAAGGTACAGCTGGTCGTGGACAGCGAAGCAACAACGTGTATGCTGGCTTGTCTCAGGATGCACGGGGAAGGAACGGCTTGAAGTTCTCGATGCACTCACGCGCATGCTCGTTTCTTGTCTGCTTTTCGCTTGTTCCGGTCGGTGTGGTGGTGGGTGCTGGCAGGAGGTGACGTCAGAAGGAGAAGGGTCTAGCCAGATCGGGATGGACATGTACACGTTCTGCCAGGCGCTAGGCCCGGAGGAGGTGAGATAAAACGCAAAACAAATACAACATTTTTGAGGTTAGTTTTTAGTGTGCAATCTCTATTTTTTCTCAACTACCGGTGGATGAGCAGGTGGAGGAACTTTCAATGATTTGTTTGAAGTACGGTGTGCCCGTTACTGGTCAAGATTACTGTGGCTGTAAAAACGGAGGTATTTAGATGTTTTTCGGGTAGAAAGGGCGGAGAAACGTCCGCTCGTGCCCCTTAGCGTAGCGCTTGTCTACTGTCTACTGTATGCAATCTCAACGGCAAGTAGTACCGCATCTCTCTCTGTGTGCTGGTTGAAGTATTCTTTTGCGATCACCGGGTAGGGAAAAGGAACATGTGGTGGGTTGGTTATCTCGACAGCTTTCATTGCGTGGTGTCGGTTTTGCCTTGTGTTCTCATCCAGTTGGTTTGAAGGCAGAATTAGGGTTTATCGACATGTTCATGTTCATATTCATGTTCATGTTTTCATGCTCGTTTTTGTCGAAATAAGAGGGTAATATGAAAGGGATGCCACAAGACGATGCCGTCCTGTAATGCCCTCGTTGTAAAATATGCGAAGCTTTGCAATACCCACTCCACACAGAGGCCCCGCAATATGCACTGCAATATGCTCTTTGTTTCCTACTGTCATCCGGGCGGGAGACCCCGCATTATGTTTCTATTGCAATGTTCATGCGTTTCTTTCGCTGCGGTTTTATTCCCGTTGTGTTTTATCCCGCAGGGCAACAAGCAGCTCAAGAGGCACTGGCAGACGTGGGTCACCGAGGAGGACATCGCACAGCTGGCCACGGTTGGCGTTAACACTATCCGCCTCCCGGTTGGGGACTGGATGTACCAGCCGTACGGGCCTTACGTTGGGTGCACCGACGGCGCGCTGGAGGAAGTTGACCGGCTGTTCGACCTCTGCCGAAGGTGTTTCTTTTTATTGTTCCGTTGTCTTTGGCGATGGTGGTGGAGATTGTATGTTCTCCCTAACACAGAAAAATGAATGAAAATTGTTTAAATGGTGGCAATAAACACACACGCTGTTAATTTGTTCATTTCATGTGTCTTAACCGTTGACGTTGGTGGTGTTAACGATGGCCGCGACTAAAAATAGTTAGTGGCGTATTTCTGTTGTTGTGGTCGTTGTTCTTGAGTAACGATGGTATCGTATGCATTGCTGGTGTCTGTGTTCACATTGAAGCATGCATGCATATTTCGTGGCCTATCTCACTTGTGCCGTCCGTGGTCTCACCCAAGGCTTCATGTGGGTATGCTTCCATCGATGTCACTACTACGCGACAGCGCGACTAACTGGCCGCCATCTGGTGTGCCACTTGACTGTGTGATGTTTTGTCAGGTACGGCATCCGGGTTCTGCTGGATATTCACGCCATCGCCAACAGCCAGAACGGTTTCGACAACTCAGGACAGGTAGCTATTGTTGGACGTTGTTGTCGTTGTCGTGGATGTGGTTTTCGTCGTCGTTGTCGTTGTCGTATTGTTCGAAGGAGGCGTTTCAAACCGAACCCGTGTTCCTCTTCCAGAAGGGCACAGCAGGAAAGGGCACCGCAGCGAAGTTTTGTTGTTGTTCTGTTTCCTGTAGATTGATTTCTTGTGGATTTTCTGGTGTCTTCAATCTTTGTCCGTGTAGCCTATGTCGCCGTTGATACCCACGACAAAAGTAGTCTTTCCCCCTCTAAATTTTGTCCTTCGGGCCTTGGCGATCCTGTCTCCCTCTCAGCCACCACAACACGTGATGCGGGCATGGTGTACTAGTCTCTCCATTGAGCTCTTCAGCCCTCTCACACTTGCGGCCTCGCTCTTTAAGCATTTTCCCGTGGCCTCCTCGATGTGCACCACCCACCGCCGTTCTGACCTACCTGGCCGTTAACTTCCCAACAAGGGGTGGGCTATCGAGTGGCCCGGGTCTTGAAGGCCATTTGTCGCTCTCCTGTCCCCCTCCTGCCGTCTCACTCTCGATTCCGCGTCACCCCCTTGTTGGATGCAAAAACAGGCGATGGACATCGAGTGGACGACGTACTCGGGCAATGCCGTGTCGGGAACGGCGACTTTCGTGCACTGGCCGTACAGAGCGGCCCGGTGGATGGGAGACTGGGACAGAGCGGCGGGGGAATACACTTCCAAGAACGAGTCTGCGGTGAGGAGAGGAAAGGAGAGGAGAGGGTGCTTTTACGTACGCGTCGATGAGAGCACCGGCAGCGAGAGCGCGGGGTCCGCGAGAGCGCCAGTGTTGACGTGGAGAACCCACGTTTGAAGGATCCTGACGATATTCCGCCGCAGTAGCAGCAGCAGAGCCGCGTGTGCGGGAATGATACGGGTATCATGCGCGCTACTTTTGTTCCTCCAAAGCATTGTCCGTTCGAAACTCAAGCTTGTCGTAAGAGATTGTTCTACAAAGTAAGGGCCGTGAGTCATTCCGTACATACGCCAGCAGGCAGGAATCACACCCGCTCAAAGAGATACAGTACGAGTACCGTCTCGTGGTTTGAGGACGTGGAGGCGGTGGGGGGTAGTGCTACAATACCTGATAGTCGGTGCCCCTACGTCAGCACTAGGTTTGTGACACGATTTCTTGCGGTAGTGGCGCTCCAAACAGCACGGATTGCAGTGTCGGTCGGTCGTTTGTCCACACGCGTTTTTTTTTCATTGCCTCGAAATAACGCCTTGTGTTGTAGCATTGACACCCAGGGCAGCGAAGTATCCATCTCATCTCATCTTTTCTCATCCGTAGATACCTCGACCAAAACGTTCCTCCGCTCTCACGAGAGCGGAGTCGGAAAAGGGGCAGACGCGCCGGCTCTTGGCTGTGCCGTGACTGGAAGTCATGTCGTCAAAATATCTCTCCCCCGTTTTAACTTTTTTTTCGCGGCTTCGCTCGGTGCTTCCGTCGACTCACACTTTTCCCCATTCAAGAGTGCGGATGACCCTATTACCCCGGAGCCCCTATCCCAACGCCCTAACATGATGTTTCCCACCCGCCGGTGTCCAGATCGAGTTCACGCTTAAGGTGATCCAGACGATGGTCGACCTCTACGCCAACGAGACGGCGGTGATGGGCCTTCAGCCGGTCAACGAGCCCTGGCAGTTTACCCCCATCGACTGGCTTAAGGTGAGCCCCTCGGCTCTTTCTCAGCTGTTTCTAGCTGTTGGGTTACGCGTGACCCCATGGCAAATACTTGCTTGAAGCCAACGGGCACAGAGACCGGAACGGTGTTCGATGTGAACAGCGTAACAACGACAGCAACAAACCTCTCTTTGAATTGATTTATTGACTTGCCACAGACTTGTAAATTCAACAAAACAATCGACAGCGTTTGAACAACATATGACGTTAGATATCACGCCCGCCTAGACGGATTTTCGAAGCTCGATTTCTCCACGCGGAACAGCATGAATATATCAATCGAGATGTATGTATGTATGTATGTATGTATGTAAGTATTATGTATGGCTATTCGTTTTCGAGGAGCTCTCGACGAGACAGTTCCAACACCGCAGTTTTCGGCACCATCGCCACTGCTGTTTCTGCTGTTTGGAAGTTGAAGTCGAGCTTTGAAAATTGGTCCAGGGATGGGACAAAGATTATTCACCTACGGGAATCCGTTTCTTGCGGTGGTGGCGGTGGCATAATGTAGACGGTATACCACGCATTGGCCTTGCGGGAAGAGCCGAACACTTTTGTGGTGCCTGTGCGGTGTTGGTGCTTTTTCGTCGTTGTGCGTGGTGCTTGGATTCAGGACTTCTACTGGGACGGTTACCACATCGTGAGGGAGCAGGCCCCCCACTGGCTGTTCCTGATGCACGACTCGTTCAACTTCGACGTCAACACGTGGGGAGACTTCATGAAGAACTGCCCCACCATCGGCCTAGACACCCACATCTACCAGGTACCAGGTACCAGGTACCAGGTAGTTTTTATGACGTCACACACACACATGCCTTGCCGGCGCCTCGAGTTTGTCCGCTGTGCGATGTCAGTTAAGGCTCTGATGTTTCGTTTCGTACTGTTGGCGGTTACCGAGGACCGCTGTGGCCTGTCCAGCGGCTACCGCTTGGTGTGACGGCTCGAGTCGCTTCCCTTGCAAGCTTGACAAGCTTGACAAGAGCGTGACTTGGGATAAGTTCAGCAGCAGTGGTCTTCTTGCATCGAAGTTTCGTGCGATCTTGGCTCTCGCCCATTGGGTGGTTGGTGGGTTTTGATGTTGAGGTGATGATGCCATGTCCTGCTCTCTCGCATGCTTAGCTCGTGACTCGGCGTCGAAACGACGTTATCCGAGTTCGAGACCCACTCACATCTTGCACTGGTTGTGAATGTATATGCATCGCCTTACTTGGTGTCATATCAAGTTTGTCAATTCATTCTCGCCGTCGTGTGCCTCGTGTGGTGTGTTACCTGATGTGGTTCGATGTGCGGCCGCCCGGCCGATGTTTGAGTCACAGCATGCGATGCACCTCACGTGGTTACTGTATTGTACTGTACTGTACTGTACTGTATTGTACTGTATTGTACTGTATTGTACTGTATTGGCGGTGACGGTGAAGGTATAAGGCTTTCGAAACGAACGTGGTCCCCGCGGTTCGCAGCACCCGGGTTCCAACAGAGGGAGTGGCGGCATGCGTTGTTGTGTTTGTTGATGGGCTCGAACACGTGCCGTCGAACGGTTTGATGCAGGCTTGGTCGCCGCCGGGGCCTCAAGCGGGCTACCTCGCCAGCGCTTGCGACGCGAAGAATAACATCATGGCGATGGAGGAGAGGGGCATGCCCGTTATCAGTGAGTCACCGGACCCCTATGTGTACAGTAGCCTTTGCCTTTTATTGGTGAATCCTTTGCTTCTGCTGCTGCCTCTCACGGTGTCCACGTAGGACGAGCCGCACGGAAAATGCTTACGTAGCATTGGTCACAACGCGGTCTTTTTTGGGATGCGAAACGGAAGTTGTTTCGTGTGTTTCGTGTCTATTAGACATGTGTAACGGCTCTGGTCACCCGTGAAAGAGAGTTGGTGTTTTGCATTTTTCGATATTGATTCAGAATGATATCCGCTGGAGTAGTTCGTCTTTCGCTGGCTCCTACTGACGTGTGGCCGAATTTCGACTGGTGCTGCTGCTGCACGCAAGGCTTGGTCGGGCCGTGCGTCGGATGGGCGGGATGTTTACTTTCACGCGTCATTTTTTCTCTCGCAAGACGAGGAGCTGTTATAGGCCATTTGGCGTCGACTGCTGGTGTATTCATAGCGTGTTTGTGGCTTAGTCGTCTTCATAGCTGCTCGTGGTGCCCCCACCCTTCTTTGTATCTGCGGGGCCGCTTTTTTTCGGCTTTCGTGTTAATTTCGTTGCGCACTCGACGATGACGATGATCGCTTCTAATGCAACCGCTGCTTGCTCCTTGCTATTCCTGTGGGTACTTCTGCTGCTGGTGCTTGAACGGATGCTTCAATGCTGCCTGCGTAGTTGGGGAGTGGTCGCTGGCGACGGATAATTGTGCCATGTGGCTCAACGGCTTCCAGGACAACTTGCCGGGCTTCCCACAGGTAAAAACACACAACAGAAACAGATAACATGGGGAGTATCCAACGCGTCATGTCCGCGTGTCCACATCTATGTCAAGGGTATTGAGTTTGTCCAAACGAGGCATGTGCCTCGGGAACATTCATCACGCGTCTCGTTACGCGGTTGTCTGTGCCTCCCCGCTTCGGCCTTAGTCCTCTTCGTCCCACCAGCAAGCAATCATGCATGATAATGTTGATGACGACACGCGAACCGCTTCAGACTCGTCGCAAAAATACATTCCATTCCGTAAAACCGTCACTATTGTTTCGCGGTGGTCGACCTTTTCGCCGCTCGCGCGTTGCTTTTTGGCGCTGTTTTTTTTTGTCACAACCAGACTACGTGCAGGATGGTACGCTGCCCCTTGCCGTACATGGGAGGTGAACAGCCCGGAGCCCCTGTCAACCCCAACATGCCTCCCGTCGGTGAGTGAACATGTGCCCTTCAATTGTTTTGGTGTTTGTGTGCGTTGTCTTTTTTTTGCCACGAAAAAAAGGTCCCGTCGGTGAGTGTATGTATACACATTGTTACCTTCAGGTTTCGTGAAACAAAATAAATTCTATCCACAGACAAGTGTCTACGATACGTTTGCGATGAGTCCATGGCATGACGTTGTGTGACCACATGTGGTTCTGCTCTGTTCTCCGAGCAACGTACAGCAGTAGTGATAACCCCCCTCGATACATATAATTGTTGTCGTTTCATCTTTGTTTTCACATGATAGGAATAGCCTCAGAAATGAGTGTCCTTGCGCACATCGGACAGTGGTGCATATGAAGCGAAGAAAAACTATCAAGACACGGCGTTTGGGTAAGTCCCAACACTCTTGCAAGTGGGCGTTCGGAACGTCTCGTCCAGTTGACACCATTTGGTGAATGCTCCGCTCCGTGTGTTTGTGAGGTTTGGTGCGTTCCGTGAATACTCCGTCCCGTATGTGTGTGTTTTTTTTATTAGCATCGAACACGCTAACCGGCTGACCAATGAATAGACAAATGAAAAGACGTCAGTCTCAAAACACTTCTCTATGCCGTTGACTGGGACCCCGTGAGGGGGCGGCATGGGGGAGACTAATCTATTATCCGGATCAAAGACAGAAACGGTAGCAACAGCATGTGTGTGTGTGATATTTGCTGCGTTCCGTTCCATGTATGCGTGTATGTGATCGCTGGGTTCCTTGGTGGTGTTCTTTCTTCTCCTTTGTGCGGCAGGCCCCTTCGGCACCGGGTCTAGCACGCCGAGCTTCGGACAGTGCCCGATCGACGCCGCTTGGCACGCTGAGGACGACTTCATGACGGTGGGTCCATGCTGGCTGTAGGCATATGTTGTATTGCATGTATACATTGTCCACACTCTGTACAACGTTCACTGATAACTACGTTGGTTGTTTGCCAGACAACTGCTGGCTAGTTGTTCGTAAGCACCTAGGTGCGCACGATTCTGGAAAAAGTAGTTGTCTGCAGGCAACTAGGTGCGCAAAAATCTGTTGCTAGTTGTTGTCGCTGCATAGTGTAAGAAAAATATCTATGACAGAAACCGTAGTTTCTGATGCTCTCTGTCTCTGTCTTTGTCTCTCTCCGTCGCTGTTTGTTGGTTCGACCCACGTTTGTTTATCCTGGAACCCCCCCCCCCCCCCGCGCCTTACGGGAATTTGCAGGGCCCCGCGTACGCCAAACTGCATGCTTTCCAGGGCGGACACGGTTGGTTCTTCTGGAACTTCAAGACCGAGCTTGAGGTATCTACACATGCCATGTCCTCAACACCACTGCAGTAAAGTAGTGGTGTGAAGACTGCACAACGCGCTATGTACGATACCACTAAATTTGGAACCCGGCAGTTCAGAAATTCAGGCCAAAAATGACATCAACGGAAGGACATGATAATAGTAAGAATAGGTTTTGGACTACCCCACAGAGGCATCATTTTTGTAAGAGACGAGCCTCAGGAAAATAATCGAATTTACAGGTGGTGGCGCTTTTTGTATTCAAAAGTGCCAGTTCTTTCCTTTTGGACAGCATGCACTTTCGGTTTTAGCCCTCGTGCGTGTGTGTGGAACAATGCTACATACAGCACGTGGCGTTTCCTTTTCAATCAGCTCGTCAGCTTCTTCCCTTGTACACACATGTGTGGAACGTTCTTACTTCATCCTGTTTTTTTTTTTTTTTCCTGATGAGGGCGTGTCGTGACGAACCCTTCTTTTTTGGCGACGAACCCTTTTTTTTTCTTGTGGTAAAGCTCTTCTTGTTTTGGTGATGAACGCGTGTTTTGTTTGTGCTCAGGTGCGATGGGACTACCTTGCCGCCACGGACAAGGGCTACTTCCCCTACCACGTCGACAACCTGGAGCTCAACGAAGACGTAAGCCCTCCCCCCCCCCCCGGGGTTTGTCATCGGGGTTGGGTTTTCGTCGCTTGGCAACGACGTTGTTAAAACAAGCCAATTCACTTCGTGAACTCGGCAACCAGGTTACCGTTTTTTTTTTTTTTGTACCTCGTTTTTTTTTTTTTTTTTTTTTTTGGCGGTAACCATAATGGTGGTCGAGTAGATCATGTTGTGCGGGGTCGAGAAACCTCACTCCGCGCAACGGGGGATGATCGTACCACGTTGTGTTAAAATGGTCAAGCTTCCTCGAGGCAGTTACACAGTGCTTACAACTGTCTCTGGAAGTGAAAGCACCAGAAAATAAATTAAGTCATACGTAGCTGTCATCCGTACGCAAGGAAGTAAGCACAAGATGCCGAACACCCTTAGCAGGATGCAGCTCACCCTTCATGCGACTCGCCAAATACCTCACGGCGCTTCGCGCTTGGTGATGTGAGAGCCTGGTCCGGTGAGAACCCGGCGTGCTCCGTCCCGGCTTTGTAGGGATGCGAGGTCAATGGTCAAACGACTACGGCATGCACGACTATGAGTACACCCCCACCCCCCACCCAAGCTTATTCAGTATGTATACAACGGCTTCCCACAAAAAACGCTTGACACGTACCTGATACTCTATAAGAGTCGCATGTATGTAGGCTACCGCCTGCCATGGCCTGCGGCGATAATGTATCAGTTGCGTTCACATCAGTGACACGGTACTATGCTTGTTCGATTGTTGGCTGTTCCGAAGCGTGGCGTCACGCGTACTCTATTTTTGTGTTGGACCCAGTGTTGTTTGCGACAGTGCATCGCTGACTTCTTTTTTTATTCTCTCCCGTTTCGAATTGCATTATTTTTGTTCCACCGGTCGGAGACGTCGATGTTAAATAGCAACACACCACGAGGCCCACAGCGCAATTGATCGGCGAAACCGCCCGTATCAACTAATTCGTTCCGTTTTCTTTTGCGGCCGAACAGGTGATCGATGCGTGCAACCGTTTCAACGGCCGCTACCCGGTCAAGGGGATGCCTCCTGGAATTTTCTCGCAAGACGCCTCCGACCACCGCCACCTGGGCGGTGTCCACATCGCCATGATCATCACGGCGTTTTCGCTCATCGTCTTCGCTGGGTTCAAGGCCTTGAAGAACAGGAGGAGGAGGAGGGGCGCCGCCGCCGGCAGCGGGGAGTGGAAGCGGGTGTGCGATAGTCCAGCTGTGGAGGGACAGGTGGGGGCGCAAGCGCCTGTGTTGACGGGGCATTTACCGGAGTTTCACTGCAGCAAGAACGTTGCCGCTGTTCTCTCGGTGTCTACCTGCCAGCTGTTGTGTTCATGGTTGTGCTAACACAAGTCCGGAATTGCTCACGAGCACAGCCGCTCACCCTGACTTCAACCTTGATGGTCGCTCTCAAAATATGAAAGTAGCTGTGACACTGTGACAATGTTTTTGACATTACGTTGTACAGCGTTCAAAACATGGAAGTAGCCGTGACGATGCTCCCCCGGCCACTTCGATAGAACGTTCGTGTATCTGTTCCGTGGTAACACGCTCCTGATTGTTGGTTGCGGTGGAAATCGCCTCCCTCTACAGTCGACGTAATGGTTGGCGGAGGAGCTACAGTATTACCACCCTGATTGCTGTGATGCTGGTCGCCTCAGTTCCTAGTACATGTCAGGCGGCGAACCACTGCATTGTCGCTGAATACCGTAAGGTTGCGAGTCAGCAGACAGGGGAGCGAACGATTTTCTAAGCTTAATTTCTCCACAACCAGGAGGTTACCACTTTCGCAAAAGGGCGGTTTTGGAAATATCTCATCGAGAGCTTTCCTGAGAAGTATCAGTTGGCGCTCGCACCCTCCTCCTGGTGGTGGAGAAGCTAAGCTTTGAAAATCGATCGCACCCCTGAAACCTTACGGTACCCTGCAGTTGCCTCGTCCACCAGCCAAACTACCCCCGGGGTTCTGCTTTTGATCTGGCAGCATTGTTTTTTTCATCTTCGCTTCTTCCCGCAACACAAAAAACGAAACGGAGCATATTGATTTCCCCAACACATGCGTAGATTGTACGCCATCAGACTCGAGCGCGTATACCCCCTTGTCCACCCCGTTTGCTGTTTTTTTCTTGGTAGTGCCGTTATTTCGGATACGACCTACTTCACTCCAGTTAAAACGGGATTTGTCTTTTGGATGGCTGCTGTTGGGCTGAAAAAATTGCGTCTCCGTCCATTTCTTCGTTTTCCACCGGCGCGTAACAGGGCGAGTTCACCGCTCCGACGATGGGATACCAGACAGTCCAGGCCCAGACTTGAGCGGCGATTTTGGCAGCTCCACAGCTCACTCTTTTCAGGGGCGTGCACATGAAGAAGTCGGACTCACGGGCCCTTGGCTACAAGAACCAAACCTTGTCTACTCTTTGTTTGCCCTTCAAACGTGTAGACGAGTGGTATGACTCGCATCGTTTTGGTTGGGTCACCACGTGGTGTCTGTGCAGCACTAAGGATGACCCTGATGTGCAGGTGGTGCAGCAGTAAGTGTTGACCCTCGTTGACACGCAAGGCAGGAGGAACGCAAGTAGGTAGGGTATCTGTGCGTTGGTTGTTGGCTGCTTTTTAGTTCTTGCCGCCTTGTGTGCGCCGCTAGATTTTTTGAGATGCTGCCATCTGGAACGATGAGGCCTTTGCCGCAAGGTTCATCGACGTTGTTTCACGCCTAGCGCTGCGCTGAGACCCTTGGTACACGGCACTTCGGTACGCGTTTTTTCGCCCCGTCTTTTTCTCTCTCAGAGAGAGAAAGAAAAGGTGCCCGTAGTTTTCTGATTGGCCAACTTTGTATGAAGGAACGTTCGCGAGAATGGCGAATAGGTGGGGTTTCCTCCACAGGCAGCGGTGCAGGGATGATGCACCCGCCAGCCTCGTTGGCGATCGTGAGAAGGAGTTTTTGTCCTCACCCTAGGTTGCGCGGCACGCTGTAAGGGACGTTGCTACTCGGTGTTCGGGGCAGACGGAGAGACGCTAGGAGCTTTCTCTCCTCTTGGAATAGGAGTAACAGAAGCGGGATATATGGGGAATCAGGCGCAGCAGCCAACTGGGGGGTTGATTGAGCGTCCGTCGGAGATGCACACGAAAAACCCACGAAAACCGTAAAACCAAGTTTCCGTCGAATAATACGGAATAGTCAAGGCGCTTAGGGTGTAAACGGATTGGATGTGATGGGTCAGGTAGAGTTGCACGTGGTGATTGCGCGCGTTAGCGAATTGATTGATAGCTGGTTGTGTGGACATCCGAACGGGAGGGTTCAAATTCCAAGGTGTTGGACTACAGTAGGACTAGCGACTGACGCTGTAGTTGCCTCCCACGAGGATACAAGTGCGGTGACCTGTAGGCCTACTGACTTTTCCGCATGCGACGGCGTCACAGTTGCGCGCCCACAGACGCACAGCTCATCTTCAAGAGAGCGAAGCAAGAGAACCGTGGTGACGGTGCCACGTTGGTGGTTATCCAGGCCTTTTCCGAGCATTTTCTTCAGATTAGCTTACCAACTCGCGCAACCAAGCATGGATTGATCCCGGGCTACACGATATTTCTCATGTTTGGAGCCGGATCAATGCGGAGCTCATCGTAAGCCATTCATAAAAAACACAACCAGCTTTCTGGGCTTGGAGTGTAAATCAACCGACTGAGCACCCTCTTCAAAATCTTGAAACTGAGAGTGCCACCATCTCCTTGTCCAATCAATCAAAAACCCCAACACAAACACTCCGGCCGGGCATGGCTGGGTAGTTTAGCTCAAAATTACGGGAACATTGGGAAGACGTCAAAATTTCTACGGTTTTCCTACAGGCACAAAGTCTGGTACAGTAGCACGCTAGCGTACGACATGGGCCTCGAAAGGCGCACCAACATACCCTCCCTCCGTCATTCATCACCACGGCGCCCCAATGTTGGATCGCTCTTCTCGAATCCAAGTAAATGGCAGTACGCGACCTCCGCTTGGAACGCTAACACAGGCCCTGAAACACCATCATACGCGGATCTCGGTGCTATTTACCTTACAATACTTACAAGGTGCGTTGAGTGGGCATACATACACGCATATCGCAAAATTCTTTTCAGGCGGGTCGCAGTAACCAACCTCCCTTTATGTACCCCTCCCCTCAAGCCACCGCGTAAACTGCTTGTCGGTGTAGGTGGACACGACCCACTTGTGCGGGCCGAAGCGGGGCTCGATGTCCTTCTCGCGCATCTGCTGGGCTCTCGGCAGCATCCTCTTGTCCAAGCTCCGGCTGAGGATGGAAGGGCACGACATGATGGCAGACTTGATCTCCTCCTGCTCGCCGCTCAGGTCTACCATGAAAAACAATACCGTTGGCTCCAAGTTCTGCACCGGCGTCACCCATCGGCAGCGATCGCGAACGGGGGGGGACGCAGAAGAGTAAACGAAGATGGGGGTGGGGTAGGGTGTGAGCGGGTCCTCAAATTTCGCTTCCCTTCGGCTAATTCGACTAAGTGGAAGCGGGCACCAGCAGAGAAATATGAACAAAAACAAAAGCCGATGGTTTCAGACGCACGTATCTCGTTCTCAACGTGCGACAAGGGGATACACACAACGTGACGGTGCCTCTGTTTTTCGTAAAAAAGCACGAGGCGTTCTCCAACTACGTATCTCGTCGGCACCGATTTCTGAAGGCATCCGTTGCAGAGATATCGATGCGCCTGTCACACTGCCACGTGCTCGTTACTCTTGGTACAGCTACTGACACTCCGACTTCTCCCGATTTATCTTTCGGGAAGGCCCAAACCAGTAACTCGATCGCTGAGCGCCATCATTCTCTTCGTTTCGACGGCTTCGGAAATTATATTCTAATTGTAAAAACACTTGTTGTGTGGCCGACAAGCAGGCACGTGTACTCCGGAGGATACATACCTGGGTAGTGCTGTACCCGAAAATGAGAGGGAATCGCTTGATGAGTACCGCGACTTCTTCTTGAGAAGCTCCCAGCCGCTCCTGCCAACGGCAGTGGTATCAAAAGAACAAAAGAACAGAGTTCGAAGGTTGCTAAGATTCATAACACGTACACTTTCGCACAGAATTTACGATAAACAACAACTTTTGATACACAACACGGGTCACCATTTACAGTACGATATCAATACCAAGACCAAACTCAGTGAACACTAAAGAATGGACGGACCACCACTTGCCTCAATCCTCCCAGAGATACACCAAGGTTTCAGCGGATCAAGCGTCGACGTGACACACAGGAATAGCTTCCCTGCCATCCCACACGACCAAACTAGGCCCGACGACAATCAATCAACGCCACCGAACGCTGCGTGAACGGTGACATCTGCTCGTGGCACCTGTCCTCACGCTCGTGCCAACAACCGTATCGGGGCGACAAAAAAATCGACACCAACCCACCCACCCCCGAAAAAAAAAAACGGCCCCCCAAATTCCGTCACAATATTCCAACCGATACATCGCCAGGGGCATACTTCCTGCAGTAACGAAGGCTATCTTTCGCGCTTACCTCTAGCCATTTGAACTTTGGCTCCAAGTTCTTTTCCACGCTGCGGCTCAACACCGCCGGGTACGTTGTCACCAGCTGTCCAGGGGAAAAATATCGTGTTCACGTGACAAGAGGAGAGATAGAGAGAGAGAGATAGAGAGAGAGAGAGAGGGAGAGAGAGAGAGAGAGAGAGAGAAGAGAGAGCGTGTAGCGTACCGTAGCTGGACAGAAGCAGCGACATTGAAAAGGAGGCAGCAAGCTCTCCGCGCTCAACGCAGCAAATCGACATGGGACCATTGAGTCCGACGCGGACTTGTCAATGGCGTCTCATCAACTTGCACGGCTCGCTCCCTACTCGACAGTACTGTAGCTGCTGCTGAAATGCGTGGCTCGTGTGCACAAACTGCGCTGTGGTGTTGCTGTTGGTGCTAATGCGCCTGTACACGTACCTTTCTCAATGCTGCCTGGCCCAAGCCCAGTCGCTCTCTGAGCCACTTTGTCTTCGGAGCAACGTGGGACGTCACGCGATACGCCATCAGCCGGGGGTGACGCAGTATCAACTGCCGATGCAGAGGGAACAGAACAACAGAGAAGCCAGGAGAATGAGACAGGGGAGAGGGAGAAGTGGAGAGCACAAGGACGAAGAGAGCATCACAATTTCCCTCGTCTTGTTGTCATCACTCATCACCATGCAGCATTTGTTTCGGTTGCTTGACTGGTCCGCAACGCGTGGGGTCGCCACAATTGGGGCCGAGCTGCCACCCCGTGCTTCTTAGGAAGGGCTCGAAGCTAAAATGAGTGTCGAAAAAACTTGATTCTTTCTCCAGTTCTGTTCACAGTCAGATGCAAGCCACCTTTCTCACACTCACTCAGCAGGGTCGTAAGCTTCGCATGAGCTGTGCCGAGCAGCCTTGTAACACTACTGCTACTACTACTACTACTACTACTACTACTACTACTGTGCCGGCAGCAGAACCGCACACACACTACCATACACAGAAGTACACTCACGCAACGCATGTCGAAGTGGTTCATGTCCAATTCGCGCGTCAGCCAGCCGAGAAGGGGCATGGGCGCTTTGTCCCCGAGAGTGTTGACCGTTGGATACCGCTTCGACATCTTGTTCAGCTCCTGCGTCGTGCACGGCGTTCGTCATCGTATCGAGGCTTGGGTACGGAACACGGCGACATGTGCTGTGGTCTACACTCAACGAAGAAGAGGCGGTATAGGAAGGCATGCGATCGGATTCAACACAGAACTACACGGATTGAACAAGGGGTCACGCATCGTGTGGTCGGATCAACACAGCAGCGTTTACGACTACATGCCTTGTATGATCAACCCGCGAGCACACGATGACGTATGGTGCTCGGAATCTTGACCAACGGACGGCGATAAGGAAATGCTGGAGGCATTTTCGAGGTCGAAGCCGTTTCAAGCTAGAGCAATGCCTTCGTCAACCAGAATGGTGTGCCTACACACCCGTTCTTTTGCACTATTGGAAACATTTCATGTTTCTGATTTATGCGGAGCCGTCAGGCTGTCATGCTCCTTTCACCGAAGTAGCAACGAAACAGCCACATGACTGCTGTATGCGCCAGAAAGGCAACGGGAACATTTTCTATGCTACGACATAGCGTAGCCGCGCCTTCTCCCACACACAGGGCTAAGCAAAGTCTCTCTCACATTTCCAGAAAAAAAAAAACGAACTTGAGGTTGAGAAACACACATGGTCGGTGGATACTGCAGCTCATCCTCTGGTACATGTAGTCGACTCATGGTCCACACGCCACGGAGGCCACGAAACAAGGAACCGAGCCTAACCTAGCGTTTCCCGGATGTGTGGTAACTGCTTTACGTCATGTACTTCAATATCTGGCCGGTGCATGGTACTTCTGTACATTGTTGCGCGTAATGACCATGGTTTCGTGTCAAAACTCTTGGCCAACAATCCCAACTTTTGTCCCGCATGATTTTTCGCCTCCGGTCAGCAGGAGCAGTCAGCTTGAGGGCGGGTATTTAGCAACACGTTGTCGTCGCAAAGGGCAGTTTCGTGTGCGTTTGACCTGTCCTTGTTCGGTGCCGGTCTACACCTCCCGATACACATTTGCTGCAACACCTGTATGTGAGTTGTTCAAGAACATGAGAACAGAAGACATGAAAAGTAGAAGCTTGCTGTACAGCAATGGTCCCGATATAGTGGCGTGTAGGGGCAAGGGCAGAATATGCCACTATTCAGGGCAGTGCCACTACAGCAGTACGTGTATTCGATGTATGGGGTTCATGCACATTTTGAGAATGTGACAACAGGTTTTGATGCCACTATAGCGGGCATTTCACTATTCACGGTACCACTATATCGGGACTACTACTGTATGAATAGACCACCACCAAGGTGTGGTTTCTCTCTCACCTCGAAACTGAAGTTGTAGTCGCCCAGGCAGGACACAGGGTCAGAAGCGCTCCCGTCGACGGCATCAGCAGCCGCCACCCCGGGCACAAAGACAGCGGCAGCAGCAGCAGCAGTAGCAGTGGTCTCTGCCGGAGCCGCAGGAACAACTGCTGCAGGACCCGCCGTGCTTGGCTCAGCGACAAAGGTTGCCGCGGGGGCTTCGCTGCTGCTGCTACGCGTAGCATCATGCCCGAGGTGCTGGGTGGTGGCTGCTGTCTGGGGGAAGGCAACCGGCGTATCGCCTACATCGAGTTCCATCTCTTCTGCTGCACTGGCTCCGCTGGTGGCGGTACCGCTGCTGCCACCACCAGCCGCAAGAAAATCATCGCCCACTTCCCCCTTACCTCCGACCACACCAGCGGCGGCGGCAGCGGCGGCGGCGGCCCCTTGCATGATGAACCTCGAGGGCCTGGCCTCGGAATGATCATGATCTTGATTGCGCCGCATGCATGTCCTGCTGCTGTCGGCTCCTGCAGCGGCTCTCTCCTGGTCATTGCCATCGTTCGACGAGCTCCAGCCCCCGGTGGGCTGCGAACGCTTGCATCCGGCCAACGTCGGCGAGGGCAGGACACCATCGTGCGGGCCGAGATGCTCGGACGCCGCGGAAAGTTCGCTGAGAGGGGTGGTTGCGCCATGTAGGTCGAGGAAAGCGGCGCTGCCGCTGCTGCCGCTGCCGCTGCCGCTACCATTTCTGGTGTCCGATGTTTGAGAAGTTGGGAAGGCCTCGAATACCGTCGATCCAACAAACGGCGGGTTGGTTCCGGACAGCGCCAGCGCCGCGCCATGCATGTGGAAAGCAGAAGGGAGGTCAACAACAGCAGCAGCGGTCGCAGCAGCGGCTGATGCTGCAGCATCAGCAGCAGGAGTAGGAGACGGAGCTTCAACACGAGGCGGCACGCCTTCGTCGATCAAGGGCTGCATGATAGAACGGTCGATCGATCTGCCTTGGTTGACCCGCCCTTCGCAACGCTAGAGCGGCCACGAAGCTTTGCAGCTTCCTACCCAAGAAAGATAGCGCGCCCTTCGCCGAACGAGGGGTGCGTGAGGACGAGACAGGAGAGAGAAAGAGACGACAAACGTGTCATAGTAACTGCCTCACTACCGCAGTCGGAGCAACCGCATGATAGGGGCCCGTCAGATGAGACATGGGCCCTCCTTATCCTCAACTGGAAAGTATTTTCAGGCCGCCCAAGCTCGGCAACACCCACAGCAGACAGACAGAACAAGGTTGAAGGGCAACGCAACGATCTGCCTGGGGAGTGCATAGAAAGGACGTACAACTGCCGCGTGCACACGCCCACAAGAGCCTCGACACGTGTGCCAATGAAGGCTGCGCGACGGGCATGGACAACGAGGAATGCCAATGTGGCTGGAATGCTCCGAAGGAGGGCTAATCGGGTTAACAGTCTCGCCGGCTTCATGAACAACAACAACAGCAGTCCTGGCACATCATGGGCAGCAGGCACAGTAGATGCCAGCAGCGCGGTACGCTGCTATGGGAGGATTCCAAACGTTTCTTCGTCGACCCATATTGTGCCATCCAAGGAGGAGGAGGTGCTACCGGGAGCGTTCAAGTAAGGAGGGAATCAATGATTGGGTGTGTCTGCCATGATCTATGATCTGGTCGGCGTCCATTACCCCTCGGATTTCACTGCTGCTGTACAGAGTAGTAGTCTATGTATGTAAGACAATCAAGATACCTCAACCATACTGTACCAAAAAACATATTCAAACCCACAACGCAAGTACGACTGCCTTGCGCTTGCGAGATTGACGTGCGTTCCCAAGATACGGAGGCACAGTTCATCCACATTGACACACCTTTCTTGCCGCAACAGCTGATCGAATCTAGAGTGCACCTGCGGTATCCAGATACCGACGAACTTGGCAGTTGAGGATTGAGGATAATCGATAAAATTAGACCATCCGGCTAGTCAGCGCTGACTAGCCGGATGGTCTAATTCTACCGATTAGAGGATACTCCTATACCTTGAAAAACTCAGGATGTAAGAACTGGAGTACTTTCGGAGCGCGGCTAAGAACCCCTACACTACATCAGCAACACCTATATAGAGGGAACAAAGAACGTCAGCCCCGGCCTAAACTAGAGGCGCAATGTTGTACTTCTAGTCTGCAGTCTACCGCAGCGAAAGGTAGATCTACATCTGTAGATGATGAGGATACACTTTGAGTAGATCAACATGCACACAGCAACGTTAGACTATTGCACAGACCATACAACCTTCCCAACTTCTATTTACCAAGTGTTGCTCTCTCTCCGTCGGTGACAAACTAATCCAGTACAGCTATACGATAACCCAGTACTGTACGATGCACCACAAAGATACATGTGCATATGAGCCACTTCGCAACACAGCAAGCATTCCTACCTAAAAGCAAGGCTACATACCAAGCGCTCATTTAAAGAGCCGCGGAGCGCGAAACGCGACCGTTCTTTTTCCTCCGCCCCAGGAGGGAAAAATACGCTCTATCGACCAGGGGGCCCAAGTTTCTACAAGCGACCGCCTAAGTTTCCCCTGATTGACGATCTGCTGGCTTATGACGAAGAAGAAATTAGGGCGCTCTTCGCCACATCGGTTTGGGCGTGCTCCGACAGCAGATGGCCGTGCTTCACCGATATTTGTACCCCAAAACCATGGAAGATCTCCCACAAACACACACGCAGTCACGCAGTTAGAACAGAGGAAGCAATCAGCAAAAACACGCAACACCGCTGGGAGGGGCAAGACAGACAGCACTGGCGAGGGAAGGGAGCCATAAGCACAGCTCGCGGCGGATGCCATATTCATTGCTGCTGCTTCGGTGTATCGGGAGGGGTCACCTGGAAACAAGTCAGTGACCCGGGAAAAGAAGACCTTTTTTGGCGGCGGGTGTTTTTTCTCGGATGAATGCATTTTGCCGACTCCCGCCACCTCAGCTCCCGTGGGTCCTATGGCCCCGTGACCTCTGTTAGCCGCCACACAAGACGTGGCATACACACATCTCGCGGGGAACAGCTTCAGAATTGCTGCTGTGTCACTCTGTGCAGAGACACCGCCGAAATCCCAAATCGGCGGGGGAACGTATGTATGACGTCTACCGAAGGTGACGCAAGATACCACTCCCCCTGTACCGATTTTTTAAAGTCGAGTACTCCTCGCCGAAGAGGGTGCGTACACCCAGCAAGACGTTGTCGGAAAGCTCTCCACGAGACGGTTCCCCACATGAAAATTATCGGCGCCCCCACTCTTTGTGGTGTGGGGCAACCGAGCTTTGAAATTGGTCCAGGGGGTGCGGTACTGCCGTATCCACACGCCAACGGCCGTTCGTTCCAGGAGCCATGTTTTTTGTTGATGATCGACTGCCACCCGCCAACGCACAATATCATCGCAGATAGGCTATTACAAGGTTTTGAGTCGGCCACCCCGCGACTCATTGCTCCGCCCTCTCTAGTACTGTAATCGTAGAGGCAGACACGCCGGGCAGTGTTCATCGCAGTACAAGGCACATAATACATAATACGGTGCCGTTTTTGCGACCAAACCAACCTACTCCACAAGCTGGCGGTGCGAAAAGGATCTAACACATCAAACTAATCACACAGCAAATAAAATCAGCAACACTATTTCAACATGTCATTTTAACGCAATTTTTTCGTGTGGTTTGCGCTATATCCAGATCTCCGATAACGCAGGCACTGTGGGAGATTCGGCGTGCGGAGATGGAGTTCCAGGTGAATGTAAATGCGGCGATTTCCGTTGCACTCATGTGGAGCACGCCTTGGTCTTCCTACCGGCACTTCGCCAACGAGCACATCGCCCCGAACCTGTACCGGCCCCTCATCGACAGTTATGCGCAATTTCGTTCTTCAAACGGTCGTTTCACGACGGTTTTCAGCGGTAGCAGCAGCGGCGGCAGTAGCCACAAACAACTCTTGCACGCGTGTTGCCAGCACACCCGATCCTTGTTGAACCCCGTCCACACACCACCGCCAGGAGAAACGAAGAGAGGCTGGGGGAAGGCCTCCCCGGGAAAACCTTCGCCCGGTGCCACCGTCGCTCAGCCGCAGCGCCATCCACTACCCCTTCTCCACCGACTCGTTCCTCCGCGAAGACTATCGCAACCCAGGGGGCCTCGTGCGGGTAAGGTGGAATGGAGTCGAGGGATTCAGGGGGCACGCAAGCAGAAGTCGCAGACAGGTTGATGTGGGGGGGGGGGGGGCACAGGAGGGACCGTCTTTTCGCGAGAAATTAAGTTTGTGAGGAAATTGAACAGGGAGGGGCTACACAGACCGTATTTCCTAACCCTTACCCTGACCGTATCCAACCAACTCCCCCGATTGCATGCTTCATCCAACATGTTAACTTCACTTAATAGAACAACCCTGCGAAGACTACTGCACAGGAGGGCACGGCTGGGGGACGGAGGGTACCTACCGTTGAAACATTGCCAGGAAGTTTGTTGGTACATGTAGAATGAGCGTCAAGCTTATGGTCGAGCCATGGGGAGGTTTGCCCGAATGACAAGCGGTTCATCTGCCACCGGGCTTTACGTTACGGGGCCGTTTTGGCGGCCTTGAAGGAGTCACAACGTGCCACCTCCGTTGCCGTTGTTCGTTGTCTACCCTTGATCCGACAACGTCTCACCGCGGTTGAAAGATTGGGAGGATCCTTGAGGACTTGGACGCGTTGGCCGGGAACATCGCTTTCAAGCACTGCTCCGAAGACCCGTCCTTTCCCCTGCTGGTCACCGCCTCCGTAGACAGGTACATTCTGAACTCCTGTCATGGCCAATCCTGACGGGCTCAAAGGTTTGATGAAAAGGGCAAAGATGGCTAACAATTTCACTAGGAATATCTATGACGGTTCACAGCAACATGGTTGTCGTTCGAGACCCCGCCGGTCCAAGCTTTCATCTGTATGAGCCCACGCCCCGTCATTTCCAGGTTCTTGTTGTACTCGGAGGAATCAATGTCGCATATCCAACGAAGGAATCTCCTACCTCCAAGTGGAGTGTTCAAATATGTATGTTCTCCTCGCCCGCTGGACAATCACCAGGTTCCAGTCGTAGGCGTGCCACGCTGGACTAGCGACTTTTCTGTTTAATCATACTCGCGGAATGGTTGGAAGCGGCGAGAGCGTCTCCTCTTGACGCACACCCGGCTCCGTTGTCGGTCCCAAATGCTGTACTGGTACAGGATAGTCTTGCGTAGGCACCCGGAGCTTGACTGCGACATCACCTTGATGGGCAGAGTCGTGTGGACGGGGAGGTCGAGCATGGTCATCAACATGAGGCAAGCCTGTGTTTCACGCCTTAGGGTCAGGCAACGACGTGTTCCTGAACGTTTCACGAACGATGGTTTGAGTCGAATTCATGACTATCAAGTTTCGGACATGTGATATCATGTTGGCGTCCGGCAGAATGTAGGCGGCAGCAATCGCCCCCCTCCTGTTTTTTTTTTGCTTATTGCTGTGGCCTCCTTGTCGCCGACGGGCACTCCTTGGGGCCTAATCGACAACACGGCGACTAACCCCGTTCGGCTTGACCGGGATCATCCTGACGTTGGTAGCCAGGTGCTCGACGTCAGCTCCCGGGGTGTGCTACGTAGGGGACGACCCATGGGCGGATGGCGATGACGACAGCTGTTGGCTAGACGCCAACTTCACCTTCGTCGCCCGAGACAGGTATGTTGTGCTTGCTGCTTCGTCATCGACGGTGTTGTTGGTGCCCTTCTGTTGATGCCGTACATGTGCGGCGTAGTTGTTGGGGCACTTTTGTTCTTGCGGAAAAGGTGCCAGAACAATCCGGGTGCTTCGAGGACCAGCTCTTACGCCTGGGCGTTGTCTGAAGCAGATTGGGGTGGGGAAGGGAGGCGGTTCGATCGCTGGAAAGTTGAGAGAGAGAGGGGGAGGGAGGGAGGGAGGGAGGGAGGGAGAGAGAGAGAGAGAGAGGTTATAATAGTACTCCCCACACTAGAAATAACACGAAATCAGGGTTTTTCGGGACTTTCTCAAACATGTCTGGTGGACGAATTCATGATCATCATCTCCGATTTCGCCCTGCTGCTTGCTTCGAATACTTCACGCGTACGTCGGAAGAGAAACCGGTCGAAGCCGCGCCGTGAGCCCGCTCGACCTCGGAACCGACCCTCTCCAAGACGAACCAGGGGATGGTAGCGACGGATCCCCTGGGGAGCGAGACCCAGAACACGGTTGGAGAGCCCTCTGGAGAGTAGTGCATAGCCACAAGAGCAGGCAGGCACTGGAGAGGAACGCTGCAAAGAAGGCGAGCAGATGCTCTGCGCTTGTTGGTCTGGTCCTGCACTGCTTCAAGCAATTTCGAGGCGCCTGCGTTTCCGAGCACGGAGCCTGTTGCGAAGGAAAGATTCACCACAAGGAGGGCTGCACGTCCCTTTCATTTGCTTCTCTTAATTTTTTTCTATGGACTCGGTTGCACTGCCAGGGTTTGAAGTAGATCATTTAGTGTGAAGTAGTTCTCGGCTTTCTCTTTCCCTCTTTCGGTCCACGATGTCACGCTGGGGTCTCTTTGCGACACCCTGAGCCATCTCTTCAGCCGCGGGAACAACTAACTTTGGGGATGTGTCGCGCGCGCGCGAATATGCACCAACACGACCGAATCAAGACAACCTCACCGCCGCCATCAGCTACACACCGGGATAGGGGGGTATTGTGTGATCTTGAAGGAACTGTTGGTTGTGTATGATTTAGATTTTTTATTTTTTTTATTTGGGGACGACATGTGACAGGGTGCTGCGGCGGAGGGCTTTCTGGAGGTGGAGGCGGCAAGGCTCAAAAGGGAGCAAGAAGCGTCAACTCTTGTCGCTGCCGGTTTTCCTCTACTGCATCTCCCGGCCCTTGCGAATCCTCACGCGGTACTTATGAGCCAGACGGTGAGATACGTGCTTTTGCGATGCGGCGAAACGGGCAAGCTCTACGGCCGATGTAGCTGGTTGATGAGCCTGTGCTATGTAGCTTCTACACGAGTGCGGTCATTGTCTGTGAGATGTCACACGGTGTGGGCGTTCCGTACGTGTGTTTCTGAAGATTCCGACCCTAAACTCTGTGAATGTACTTTAGGAATGCCCCGCGGATTAATTAGCACCACCCTGTCTGTCACCCGGTGGTTTCGTCACTGTTCTCCCCGCAGATGAACGTTCAAGCAAACACTTTGATGGGCGGCAACGTTAAGCGCCCTCCCCCGCGACCTATCGTTCTCAGAGGTGTGAATCCCGCCCTCGACCTTCCGCCCGTCGTGATTGCCTTTGCCGTTGTACAGCTGACATCTTCGACTCTCATCTGCATGCCCCAGCACCGCAACACCGCGAACCGGATTTTCGGCGGTTTCCTCATGCACAGGGCCTACGAGGTGGCCTTCTGCGCTGCCTTCACGTTCGGGGGATCAAGGCCAAGGTTCAGCGAGATCGACGAGGTGTTCAGAACAACGAAGGGCCCTAGCAGCCAGCCAGCGTTTGTTTTTGTGTGGCCTCTGCTGGTCTTACTGGCTCATCTCCATTCGCTTGTCGGTCCTCGCTTTCGTGTCATGTTTGGGTCCGCGCGTCGTGTTTTCCGAAGGATTAAATGTGTTCCACTGATACTGAAGGCGCCCCCTGCCTGCCGATCTCTCTCCCCCACCGACAGGTGGTTTTCTTGCAGCCCGTCGATGTCGGTGATCTCGTCAAAATGGACGCCTGTATCCTCTACACGAAAGAGGGGTAAGCGGCAGCCGTGGTGCCACTCCCTAATGTAACACCCCATCATCCAAACCCAACGGCTTCCTGTGCAGTTGCTGCGTGCGGGTACCCGTTTCACTCGCTGTTTTCCGTGTTCGATACACGTTGAGGTTTGCTTGCTCAGCAGCCATTCCCTCTGGGAGCTGGCAAATACCAACTATCGCGTGAAGAGCAGTGTTCAGAGTCCACAGCAGAGATCGAACCCCTTCTTGCCGTTGTAGTATTGTTTCACGCGTGCTCGTGAGTAAATCGTCTCGAGTTTTGGATTGGGCCGAAACACTAGGCTTCTCTGTGTGAGGCACCCAGATCTAAAGATTCAGCAAACTTAGCTTTAACCCTATGTGCTGTCTCGGTCCTGTTGGCCGTACTACTATCACGCCGTCCGGCAGGAAGGAAGCAGGCTCTTCCCCCCAGGCTTGCGTCGAAGTTCTCGCATCGGTGGTGAGGCCGGAGACCGTCGACTCCAAGGTACAACATTTTCACCAAACAGAGCTTCCACGACTTGTATGTTGCATCTGAACACTTGGTTAATTTTGCGCTGGAGGGGCAGGCGGGTCGGGCCAGTCTATCTTGCGGTCTAAGCTGTCCACGGCTTCTCCTCTAAAATAGCACTGTTTCCGGGTTGAAATCTCTTGACTTTGTTGTCGACTTGGGGCGACGCCGTGATCGATTGAAGTTCGGGGAAGGCGTAACGTTACCCCCACCTTTGCTCGTGACCTGTCGTCGCAAAACGCGGTATATCCTGCTCCGTGTGCGTTCGATACGCTTACCCTCCACAATGCCTTGTCAACCTTGAAGTTTTCGACAATAGGCCGTTGCCTCGTTCAGCGCACTCGAGAGTTCGTGACACCCACTGAAACCATTTCTGTGCCCGGAAACCCATCTCGAACCAATGGGTATTCTCAAGAGCTGTCCTGGTCGCCGGTAAATCGCAGGTGTCGAACCGTTTCAATCTTACGTTCTCCTTCCCGGAGCTGGCATCGGGGGTAGAGGAGGGCAACCGGCCGTGTGCTGACGGCTTCAGCCAAAGCCCGGCGGCGTTGTTGCGCACGGTGCTCCCCGCGAACGCCACGGAGGCGTCCCGCATTGTGGCGGCCAAGCACCGGGATCGCCTCCAAGATGCTGCCGATGACAGGGAGGGTTTACCTCGAGGTTAAGAGACGAGCTCTCAACCAATGATTCATGCAATTCAGACGGTGTCCAGTATCGATGACAAGAGCGTTACAGTTGTAGTTTGAAGAGAGATACTGTTGTCATCGAAGAGCGATGCTATTGAAGTGTCCGAAATTCGACACGGGAACGAACTCTTGAGGCATGACGACTCAATTTTCCCAGTACTCGTTGTTGTTGCAGATTGTACTGTACGTATGTTCTTAAAATCTTCTGTGATATCGATAGGCGGACAGACTGCTCCAGTCGTGATGCGGCTGGGTGGAAAGTGCTGACGCTGTCGAGGGCGCACCAATACATTCTTTTGATCCTTCAAGCGCCGTTGCTTTCGAGCGCCAGCCTTGTCTAGGAGGGTACTGCTCAATCTCCCGGTGTATCTCGAACGCAAGACCCATTGCGTGACCCGCACACGACGATGAACTAGAACGAAAATGTGGTATGCTGTTCCTCAGCAGATGTAGCACTCGGTTCGTTCGAACGCACCCCCGCTAAGCAGTGTTGGGTTACCGACCATGACGCCGTCGAAGAAGTTTCAACTCTGCTGCTACCTGAACTTTCGTCGGGGTCGATTCATTCCGAGCGCTGCCCAGCCAACTTCTGTCTACTCCGGGGAAGCATCGTACACCATGCCACAGGGATCTGGGGTCATCACATAGACTTTAGACTATATCGGCGTAGAGTAACCGCAGCGCGTCGCTCGCAGACACAGTGGGAGCGGATCGCCATTTTGGTTTGTGTGAAGGCACGATGCGTCCAACTTTTGAGACGAAAAACGATGCCCGGGGCACGTGGAATGGTTGGTTCGACGGATGCACCCGCCTCTCGTGCGTGTGTGTTTATGATCCGTGATGGGAACAGGCGACACTCCCAAAGGTAGCGAAACGTTGTGATGAAGTTGGGCTAACGCTATAAAAAAAGTAGGCTAGCTTCGTCGGTCAACAAACTTAACCTTTCCCCCCCGTCGCCCGTACTCTGAAGAGCCTGAGACTGTCCAATCACTTTCACACCCCAGGCGACATTGGGTATGCCGGTTGACCAACATTATATGAGTGCTCAAGCTGCAAAGGTGCATTTAGCCACCACCGCAACCGATCTGGCCGAGCGACTTCAATGCGCTCGCTAGGGCTTGATTCCCGATGAGACAAATCCAACGGAAATAACCCACAAACGATTATTGACTACGTCTCGCCTCGCATACCGGGGCAACTGGCAGTTCCACTGTTCTTCCGGTTCTCGGTTCAACGATGCATTTGGACGACGGGACACACGGATGATCGTTTCAACCATCTTGATCACGACGGGAAATCCAACCTCTCTCCTCGAACCCTCATCCTTCCCCACCTGTCACAAACAACAGAGACTCACAACCACATCTCAACCCCAGGCCGCATCATCTTCCCGCACCAGAATCGACAGAGGTGGAACATCACGCGACGACAAAGATATGTGAGGCGGGTGGTACACGGTACACACAATGAATAATCCTTCGAATCACTTCGAGGGTGTACAAGTGGCTCGTAAGTGAGCAAGAGATTGACAGCACACGACAAAAACATCCTATTTTCGCTCGCCGAAGGCAGTGGTCAGTGAGGGTTGCCTTGTTTCCAACCTGTCAGAACACAACCCTATCTCCTGATCCAGGTGGTGTTAACGTTTGTGGAACTCGTTCAACGTCACCCCGAGTAAGCGGGGATGCCACCATGGCCCGGAACTCAGTGGGACGGAGAGAGCCAGACTTAGCTATACGCATCACGGAACGGTAGATGAATATCATGACGCCGTCTGGCAGGAAGCAAGCAGGCTCTTCCCCGCAGGCTTGCGTCGAAGTTCTCGCATCGATCGGTGGTGAGGCCGGAGGCTATCGACTCCAAGAGCTACATACCATACATACACCAATACAAAATATCGCGGTTAGGATGTTCCATCTTAACGCTTGGTTGGTTTTGCGTCACAGAAAGAAGGGCAGGGGATCGTGCCAGTCTATTTCGTGGTCTAAGCTGCCCACAGTGTCTCCGCTAAGGTACAATAGAAATGTTTTCGTGTTGAGAATTCTTCGTGTTTGTGTCGACTTGGGCCGACGCGTTGATCGATTGGCGTTTGGAGAAGGCGTGGCGTTATCCCCAACCTGTGCTCGCTGCCTGTTGTCGCAAAACGCGAACGGTGCCGTTGAAGGTGAAGCCTGCGAGATGTGCTTTCGTTAAGCTTGCCTCCGCAATGGCTTGTAAGCCGTTTTCATGTTTCATCAGTAGGCCAGTTGTTCCGTTCAGCGCACTTGAGTCGTAACATCCCTGAAGCCATTTCTGTGCTCCCAAGCTTATCTCGAACCAATCGGAAATCCCAAGAGCCGCTCCACATCGCGGATGAAACGCAGGTGTCGAACCCCTTCAATCTTACCTTCTCCTTCCCGGAACTGGCAACGGGGATAGAGTTGGGCAACCGGCCGGCGGGCGCTGACGGCTGCAACCGAAGCCCGACGTCGTTTTTGCGTACTGTACTGCCCGCGAATGCCACAGAGGCGTCCCGAATAGTGGCGGCCAAGAACCGGGATCGACTCCAAGATGCCGCCGATGAGGCGGAGGGGTTTCCTCGAGATAAACAGATGAGCACCCCATCAGCGATTCATGCAAAACTGACGATGCCCACAGTGTCGATGCCAAGAGAGTTGCAGTACAAAAGACGCCACCGAGGAGAGATGCCTTCCAGTTTCCGAGAATCCACACGGCAACCAAGTCGTGAGGCACGACGACTCAATTTCCCAGTACTCCGTTCTTGTTGCAGATAATGCTGTAAAGTACGTTCTTCAAAGCTTGGTTTAGATCGATACGCGGAAACCCGCTCCAGTTGTGATGCAGCGTGGGTGGAAAGCGCCGATTGATGCTGTCGAGGGCGCCACCAAGATATACATTCTATTGTTCCTGCCGCAACCGCTTCATCTAGGCGGGTGCTGCTGAACCCCCCCCGTGCGTCTCGAACGCATGACCCATTGCGCCTTATGCGCGGTCCGTGACCCGAACATTACCAAAGCGATGCATTCATCACCGCCCCACGACGATGGACTACAGTAGACCGAAAAGCTTACAGGACCATTTGCAGGACCATATGGTCCTGCAACATTTGGCATGCTGTACCTTTCAACAGTCTCGGGTTGCCGACCATGGCGCCGTGCAAGAAAGTATCAACTGTACTTACTGCTGGTGGAGTTTCGTCGGGGTCGATTCATTGTAGCCGCTTAGCGCCTGTCCACGTATTCTCCATATCAGTGTTGACAGGGCTGTTCTGCATCACGGTCAATGATATTGTTTGTTGCTGCGGCAGAATATACCACACTCATTCGTTGACGACTACGCATTCGGTTCCTGTGGAATGGATTCACCAGCAATACATCATCGAGACCGAGGTAGTCGAGCAGTTTGCGGGCACATGGCCTTCATGCTCTGCAGAGAGCTCCCACACGCTGTAAACCGACACATGGCTTCGGCAGGGCATACCTGGGATATGTGACCGGTATCGAGCGCCGGCCACTGTCTACTTGCCCCCGGGGAAGCACTACACCACACGACAGTGAACTATCCACACATTGTCATCGTGAAAACCCAGCACGGCTCCTTTAGATAGCCCAGCAGATCATCACAGTAGCTTATGCAAAGGTACGATGCGCCATATGTTGCCGACGCCAGGAGATACTCAGTGAACATGAAACGGTCGTGCGACGGATGGAACTATCTCGCACGTGTGTTCATGATCTTTGATGGGGGGTGATGCTCCCAATAGCTAAACGTTTGATGAGTGCGAACGGCGTTGTACATGGCCTACAGTAGCTTCGTTGGTTCAATAAACGTGACCCGACCGCCCCTCTTGCCTGTGGCCTGCAGACCGAACAACGTCACGTTGCTTTCACGGCAAGCGCCAACAGGTTGGAGATTGAACGACATAGCCAGAGTGTTCTTCAAGCTGCGAAGGAAGTTCGACTTCACCCACCACGACAACAACATTAATTGGCCGCGATCCCATACAAAGCTCGCCTAGGGCGCGATTCCCGATGGGACAAATCGAATGGACATGGTCCAAAAATAGAGGTGGTCAACGAGGTCTTTGTTCGCTCGAACCAAGGCCATTGACAGTCCCGTTATCTTCAAGTTGTCGGTTCAACGATGACTTTGGACGACGGGAGAACTGATGATCGGTTCAACCATCTTGGTCACGACGGAAGATCCAGCCTCTCTCCTCGAGCCCTCACCCTTCCCCACCTGTCACAAACAGCAGAGACTCACAACTACAGCAATTACAACCTCAAGCCGCATCACCAGCCCACACCATAATCAACTCAGCAGAACACTAGGGCAATGACAAAGGCGAGATGAGGCGGGTGGTACGGCACACATCACGAAAACTCCATCCGAATCACTTCACAGTGGGGCGAAGTCAGGAAGAGAGGTTGACAGGGGTGCCATCGACATCAGAATTTTCCAAATTTGGCTCCCCGATGCAGTGGGCGAGGAGGGTAGATGTTGTTTCCAAGGTGCCACTACACAACATTATCTCCTGTTGTGAAATTACCGTCCGCCAGCTCGTGGGATAGATAGACTACGCCAATATATGCAAAGTGCGTACACGCTTAGAATGCTCGTCTTTTTCGGCTGAGCCAGGCAAGGGCTGAACGTGGGCTTGTGCATTCTGTCTCGACAGACCGACAGTGCAAACGGTACACGAAAATGTCCCGACCTCCTTCTTTCGCCGCTCGCTCATTTGAGCTTGAATCTGTCAACCGTATCCCACCACGAAAAAAATTGTGCGGTTCCCGTCTGGTCTCGCTCTGGCATCAATGCGCTCTCTCACCAGTAGCTCGGTGACGAGCGGTAGGTCGAGGAGCGGCAGCTCGCTGACGGCATGAAAGGCGAGCTGCCATGTTCGTGTTGTGTGTGAGGAGGAAAGCGGACGCCAAGCAGTGTACCGTGAGCTACTCATTGGGTCGACACATACTGGTAGTGTGTAGCCCCCCACAGTCCACAGAAGATAGTTGCAGGGCGACATCTATGGTGCCTTATACAAGCGCTGTCGATGGGCGGTGCCAGAAGTTAACCCCGCAACCAGCAGCAGCGTGGTCATGGCACTTAGGACTTTATTGAGCAGTCTGTCCGTACCCATCCAACGTTCTTATCCGCCCCGCTCCCCCCGAAAACCGCCAGTAATTGTCGTTCAGGTTCGAGTGAAGAACCGGATTTTCAAACAGGGCTTCTCGCCCCCGATCATCGTGGTGCATCACAGGGTTGGTGCCCAGGTGCTGAAAAGCATGTACCTGTTCTTCATGTTGGCTCAAGGCAGTGACCGACATGCTCCGTCGTTGATGGGAATAGTATTGGCTGACTTTGCATGTTGCGCCCCGACCAGCTGTCAATACACCATGAATGTTAATGTTTCATCTGGCAGCCCCCCGCACCCACCCCCTGCACCGCCCAACTGTTTTTGTCTCTCGCACTCGCTTCCGATCTCGCTCACCAGGGTGTCCTCCTTTTCTCCTAAGGCGGGAAAGCGACCAAAGAGCACCTCTTTGGAGTCGATCCTACAGAGAACCTTGTGAAACCCATCGAACTACCCGTCCTGGCCACAAAAGGTTCCCAGTTGAGGGTAAATTCTGTGGGTGGAGAGTGTTATTATGGACGACCCGATTCGCAGGGTATCCGTCGATTGACTTTTACCAGAATCGGTACACCTTCGCAATAGTCTATCGATGGCGAAAGAGCAAGCCCAGGGAGAGAGGGGGGAAAAAGTCCAGCCAATAGTCTGAAGTAAGACGATCGCAGACAACGGGCCGCACACGGACATTGTACCTCTGCGAAACAGATTTTGAATCGATTCGAAGCAATTGCAAACCTTGTTGGTGGTGAGTTGCGAGCACGCTGCGCGGCGATCTCGTTCCTTCTCCCGGCGGGGGCGACAGCCAGATGGATACAACCGGGGCCAGCGTTTTCTATTTTTTTATTTCATCAGTATTACCACAACGAATCCATCTCTATCGAAGAAAAGAGTCTAAAGATAGGTTAGCAATGAATTCATAGAGTCAGCGAAGTTCTGCTTTTCCACGATTTCTCGAGCAGCACACAGTGATATCTCCCCCGCGGGTAACAGAGTCAACAAGACAGTTTAGTAGCCATCTTGTGCATCTCTCTGTATGTTACGCGTTTTTTTACTTAATGTTTATCACTGCAGCTTCCTTCTCCAAAAAAAGCACGGAGGCATGTTTGAACTAACCCACCTGCAGAAGACCCGCAGACCGTACATGCAGTAACGCACACCAACCCACACAGCCCCCTCTCGCGGCCAACCGATCTTGTCATTTTGCGACAGGATGGGACGACAAGCAGCACTGGTGTTGGCGGCCTTACGCGTAACATTGTGGTGGGCTGCAGTGGATGCTTTCTTCGCTCCAACTCCGCGACCCCTTGTCGGCCTGGAGGCTCAAGATGACAACACAAGAATCCGCACGCTCACAACCGACCGCAGGGGGGAGCGAATAACTAGGACGAGATGCAATGCTGCAGCCGTAGGCGGAGCTGAAGAAGAGGCTGAGGTCGTGGTGATCGGGAGCGGCATTGCAGGGTGAGGTACTGATGCCGGTTCAACGTACAGTATGTTTTTCGTGTCTCCGTCGCTGACGTGTTGTCCACCGGCGGGACTGTCAGCAATCTGGCTCCCGCTTCCACCGTTCTGCCTGTCTTCCAGTCTCTCTGTCTCTGTCTCTCTGTCTCTGTCTGTCTGTCTGTCTGTCTGTCTCTCTCTCTCTCTGTCTGTCTGTCTGTCTGTCTGTCTGTCTGTCTGTCTGTCTGTCTCTCTGTCTGTCTGTCTGTCTGTCTGTCTGTCTGTCTGTCTGTCTGTCTCTCTCTCTCTCTCTCTCTCTCTCTCTCTCTCTCTCTGTCTCTCTGTCTATCTCTGTCTCTCTGTCTCTCTGTCTATATCTGTCTCTGTCTCTGTCTCTCTGTCTCTCTCTCTGTCTGTCTGTCTGTCTGTCTGTCTGTCTCTCTCTGTCTCTCTCTCTCGCTGGATTGGCGGCGTGCCCACACAGACACAGTGAGAAAAGGTCGGGTGACAGCACGACGGCATGGCGAGTCTGCACAAGTTCGTTTCGCCTACTGCACATTCTGTGACATGTTCATGAACCAGTGTCTTTGCCAGTGCCGGTGTGCATCACGCGTGATTACAGAGTTTTGAAACGCATGAGTCTATTGGTGGTGTATACAGCAGTACAGTAGTACAATAGTTCTTCTGACCTTCGTACCTTCGTACCTTCGTACCTTCGTATGAATTCCTGCAATAAGACACACGCATGACCCTCGTCAAGTTCAGCGTTACGATGTTACTCTTGTGCCGCAAACCCTGGTTGTTTCGAGTTCCCGGTTTTTCTCTTCGAGTAAGATCTGACCTGCGTTCTCGTGACAATGTGTGGTCAGTTTACCGGTAGGCACTGCTGCTGTAGTCTAGATTACAGTCAGTTCCTCGACAACCTAGCTTTGAAGCGGAAAAAAGACATCTTTCCAACCCTGGCGGATGAGTCAGCGCAGCAGCACGGCATTGACAGGAGAAACAAGGATGCTTATCCTCTCACTCACGAGATGCCGCGCCCTAGCCACGGGCTCTTTCCCGTTCTCTCTAAAGCAGCCGGAACACATTCCGCGCAAAAAAAACAGGATAGAAGCGTGGTTGACGGTAGTGTAGCTTATGATGAGGGTGGACGAAGACAAATACATATTCAGTGGGGTATCGGTTTCGCGGTTCATAGGGCAAGGGAAGAGGAAACCGCAATGTCCCGATCTTTCGAGGGTTCGGGCATGATGTTCAGCCATCCAGCACAAGGATCTGTCATCAAGTTGCACGTACTGTAGGAATTACGGTGCACCCCGGGACGTTTCCAGAAACGGATGATTTGTCCGTTCATGTTGACCACCTTTGGATGATTCGCAAGCGATTACGAACTTCTGACCAGAGTAGCGAAGCATATTCTCAACTCTCATTGACATACGCTGCTGATATTGCGAGCACCGTCTGCATCGTAACAACCCATCATCTTTTTTTCGGGTCCTCGACCAACCCCTGGCAGGCTGTGCACCGCAGCCCTGCTGTCCAGCTACGGGAAGAAGGTGGTGGTCTGCGAGTCGCACACCCAGCCTGGTGGGTGTGCCCACGGGTTCCATCGGTCAGGCTACAAGTTCGACTCCGGCCCGTCGCTCTTTTCAGGCATGTAAACACGGAAAAACACACTGTACACGGCGACAAACGGCTGATGGTGCTTGTCTCGGGATAGCAAGCTGTCCGTGCGCCACAAGCCCGGGGTCTTGTTTTTGTGTGCGTTTCCTTGGGTTTGCAACCACGGGGTCTCCCAGCACCGGTCTCGATGGTACTTCGTTTCTAATTGCTTCGCGCTTGTAATAATGTGATTGGGGGTAATAGGAAGTAGGTAGGCATCGTTAGGGAATATGATATCGAGCACCGGGCTGTACTAATGTGATGGGATAGGACGTATGGAGCCGCTCGGGAATATAAAGCGGTTGCCGCAGAGCTCCTCCTACAGCAAATGGTTCGCAATGCTCTGATCATTTGGTGTCCCCGCCCTTCGACCGTAGGTAGAGCCACGTTAATGATGCCGAGAGAGGGTATTCGCCCAGTTTCACCAGCACGAATCGTAGCGGTAGCAAGAGCATTCACACTGAACTCTCTGGTTTCGGCCGGATCGAAACTTTGCGCTGCCGTCGACACCAGCGCCGACTAATGGGCACGTGGCATCAGTTCGTGGACGTCTGACCACGACTTGGGTGCAATCATGCGTTGAACGTTTCCGCACGCGTTAGCAATACGGCCCACCACCACAGCAAGTCTCCGCGTGTGTGCTCTTCCTTTGCCTACCATGAAACGGCGCGTACAGCTTCTGCTCGGTGCCCCCTCTGTCGGTTCTTGTCTCCGGTCGACCCCCCTCTGCTGTGCTCGGCGTCGCCATCTTTGCCCACCAAACCATCCACCATTCACTGCCAGGAATGTCGATCAGCCCCACGCCCAATCCGTTGAAGCACGTGCTCAACGCTATTGGCGAGGACGTGGAGTGGCTCACATACGGTAGGCGCAGCCCCTGCAAGTTTCGACAAGGAAATTTTTCCAAAACGTAGAAAATCTATCGCGGGCTGAGACGGCAGTCAGCACCCGGAACACCGCACGCTCGCAATTTTTAACTCTTGCTGTTCCGTCAAGCGCCTAGCCTAGCCGAGCTTTGTGCGCTGAGTCCGGTCGGTGTTTCTCCCTGTTCCACTGATGTTGTGGTTGTTGCACACGGTGTTTGCGGGAACAGCTTCGATTCCCGTCGCCGCGGCCGCAGCGTAAAGAGGGAGCGTTCCCCGCCATACCTTGAGATTCCACGTAGAAGGTTTCTCCTCAAGACGTTGCACCAGGCACCGCTCCCTTTTCCACGGCGCAGATAATAAAGTTGTAGACGAAGGTTTGCCGAGAATGGACGGAGAACATACTTCTGAATATGTTACGGTGGACCCTTCCTTTTCGTTCGGGGACAGATAGAAAAGAAGTAGACGAAGCTTACCACTCACGCAACGTCCCATCGCTCATCGACCCGAAGACACTTGGGGAGTGTCCCTCCCCCAGGGGTACTTCGACAACGCCGTGGGGCCCGAGCCGTTCCGCGAGACAATCAGCCGCTTCGGAGGCCCCGGGGCCCAGGAGGAGTGGGACAGGCTGACGGAGCACCTGCTGGAGCTGTCGGAGTGCACGATGGGGCTGCCGCCGTTTTCTCTGCGGACCGGTCCGGGCGCAGTCGTGACGATGGCGCAGTTTCTGCCTACCCTTGTCAAGGTTGCCAAGGCAGGGCCCAGGTACGACGACACGCGACAATTACCCCTCAATCAAGCACGTGTGTATTTTGTATTACACAGCATCGGCCGCGCTAGCTGGCTGGCCAATGAAAAAACGTCGGTCGCCGTGCGGTGGGAAGCACAAAATGCTTCTACGATATAGGTCGCCATCTGTGACCCTGTGACCGAACGTCATGGAGGATTCCACGCTACTCTCCGGATTAAGGCAGGTACCGTAGCAATAACACGAGATAACTGCACGTGCTGGGCTGGCTACGCGTGTGTTTTTATCCTTAGCATCGACCGCGCTTACCGGCTGACCAATAAAGAGACGCCAGTCTTTGTGGGGTTGAAAACACAAAAATGCTTCTCAATGCCATGTGTGTGTGGGTGCTTGTGCATGTGTATGCGTGTGTATGTGTTTTTTTTATTATCATCGACCGCGCTAACCGGCGGACCAATGAAAAGACGTGAGTCTCAGTGGGGTTGAAAACACAAAACACTTCTAAATGCCATTAACTGGGACCCCGTGAGGGAGCGGCATGGGGGAGACTAATCAATTCTCCGGATCAAAGATAGAAACGGTAGCAACAGAAGGAAACTGCACACGTCTACGAAGGCTGCTACCTTGCACTCGAGTTCGTTTTGGAGTGCTTTCACCATCATCCTCCGTCCTTTCAACTCCATCGTTCTCATTATTGTTTTGACAGCAACTCTTCGACATTTCTTCTCTGGCCCTGCGTTGTTTGAGGTAGGGAAGGTAATCTGGCTCGAAGCTCTTGCTCTCTTCCACGCCATGATTCCCTCCTCGATTGCTGTTTTGGTCTCTATCTTGTCCTCCTCCCGTTCCCTCTCCTCCTCCTTCATCGCTGCCAAACGAATTCCCCTCATGGACATCCTGGTCGTTTCTGTCTGCACTACTACGGAGATCCCAACCTATTGACCGTGTTGGAAACTGATCAATATGTAGTCCATGATGTTTGAAAACATCACGAGTTCGTGGGGACAGAGAACAAGCCAACTCGAAGGTAAACCGTCTCCGAATCATATTGGTATGAAAAGCCTTTTCGTCGTCGAAACTCCCCTTGGAAAAGGCTTCATATACCAAGTGGTTGGCGATGGCTACGATAAGTCGATTTTTGCCTTTGCCAAGACCACCATACGTTGAAAAAGCAGTAAGGAGGGTAGATCTAGATGGGTTGAAAGCTCCCATAGTGATTTTGCCTTTCTTGCAGCTCGATCTTCGATGGTGGATCCTGGCTTTTGGATCGACTTCTCGATGCTTCGACCTGCGGATGGGTTGACGATTGTGACATCTGCAAGAATGGACTTAGTGCATAGTTCCTCTTCTTTGTTTCCTGCGTGTAGTCCTGGGGGGATCACCAAATCCATCTTGTAGAGCCCTTTTCCTCTACCAGTGCCTGCGGTAAATGGGGAAGAGTCTTCGACCGCGATTGGCATGTAGCATTCGCGTGATGTTGAAGACATCACGCGAACCATCCTGTTGCGCAGGAAGGTTGAGGCACCGGTCGTCGTGCAGACCAAGAGTGGGGTCGGCTCAGCCGTTCCTTGCACGGTGACAATGCACCTGCGCTGCAAAGTCTGTCTGCGTCACAGTCAGTTCGGTCGTGACTCCCCAGTACACGACCGATTGATTCACGATAAGCGTCGGGTAGTATTCGTTCTTCTGCGGAAAGACCTTGCTTTGTCAGCCACGAGAATACTCCCTGTCCTTTCGCTTCCTCCAATCGAATCAACGCTCTTCTCCTTGGCGTTTCCTTCGATCCCACCTTTTCTAGTCTGTCCACCATATGGCACACTGCCGCTTGAAGAGGTTTCGGCAGGACAGCTTGAGCTCCAAAGACTTGGTAGAACTGACCAAATTCATTTCGGCCGCATGTTGACGGTGTTAGCGGTTCCTCGCCAGGGTTGTCGCCTCCACTTTTTCTCTCGACCACCCTCCCAGCCTCCATGAGATAAACTCCTCGAAGAGTGGGAGTCAAATCATCAGATGTTACCAGTTTAGTTCATGACTGACCAACAGCCTTTTCAAGCTTGTCTTTGGTGATGATTTCCTCTAGCTTCTTCGGAGAGTCAATGAGAGCCAATCCTGTTGGTAGCTGAACAGGTCGTTGCAGTCATTGCTCAAATGGTGCATGTCGATGTTTGGACTGATTTGGAGAGCACCAGCGCCTGACATACTACAAAGGCTGGTTCCCTAATGAGGACGTTACTCGTGATCCCGAGTACCCCTTCACGCATGGGCACGTGTATCTGTGTCCTAGCTGTCCCTTGGAAGTAATCCACCTCACTCTTCGTCGGGCCTGCGCGTACTTCTCTCGCTGTCGGTATTCCCACATTGTCGGCCATCTCATTGCCCACATCATCATGTTGTCATGATTTCTTGCGGCAGAGTTAACGGTCGAAGGTGCAATCGTTCTCGGCACACCAGATAAACACAGCAGCTGATAGCTGGCTTGAGGGTCGTCAAGCGTTGCTAGGCGGAGTATCAACTTCGCAGGGTCACCACGGGCGAAGTTGGAGACACAATTGCTCTGGGTCCCTACTGAGACTCCGACGACTGGCATACCACCTTCAGCGACTGAGAGACCAACTTTTGTCAATTCTCCCTGTTCGTCGTTTGCCAAAGAGGACAAGCAAAAACCTTCTGGGAAAAGCACTTTAGAGTTCGGGAGACTGAGCTCAATGCCTTTTTGGGAGAGACGTTCCTGAATCCAATTCGTTACAGTGGCGATGGCCTGCATGTTCCTAGCCAAACCTGGTGTGAGATGCGCTTGAAGGTCGTCGACATATCCGATGAGTTTGACTCCTGGCACTGGTGGCTTGTTGTTGAACTATTTCATGATACCCAGGAGTCCTAGGCAGAAGCCAAACCTTCCCAAATTTCAGCCTTGCTTAACTCCGCGCTGTGAAAGAACAACTTTGATCGAACCATCTTTCATTTTGAACACAAGCTTCACCTTGGTTTGAACGTAGATGTTCCCGAAGTATTTCACCAAGTGTGGCGTGTGAGTGGCCACTGCTGGTAGGATAGAAGGTCGGCGCATGCTGTTGTAAACATTTTTTCCATCAAAGGATAGAATTGTGCTGCCTTGCTTGTGGCTGAGGGCTGCTGTGGAAACCACTATTTCTACTCCTCCTGGAATGCCACCTCCAAACTGGTAGGCTGCGTCAAAGACGTTGGCAATCCTCTTGCTTGTACTGACGGCGGAAGCTGCCACTGATGATGCGACGTAGAACTCCTCCATCTCAATCTGTCGTTTTTTCTCTCCCAACGCTTGAAAGGTTGGCACCGGTGTGGAAGTTCCAAAAGAAGTCCGGAAGCTCGTCGCCGTAATTGAACACTTTGAAGCTGGAAGTCCGTCAAGGTTTCAGAGAATAGCTCGCTCATGCCATCAGCTTGAAGAAATGAACACCGTAGACCATCATGCCCTGGAGCACTCTGTGGACTGGCCTTGTTTACTGATTGTTTGATAAACTTGATTTCGAACGGTTCGTCAGCTTCGGCGATGGAGTCAATCTTGTGCGTTCCTTCACTATCTTCCGCAGTTTTGATGCTAGAATCCCACGCAGCAGCAATATCCTCAGGCTCTTCATTAGGGTGTAGGTTGCGAAGATGCTCCAGGTTGGCGTTGTTGCGCGGCGAAGGTGCTGGGGAGATTAAGGCTCTCGCAGCTTTATAGTGATGCCTCCTCTTTCTTACGCCAGTCTTGTAGCTCTTGTTTAGCGATTGTCTTCAGTATCCGCATAGTACTGAAGTCGACGATTCTTCTCATACAGCATGAGCCAGGCAATAGGCTCACTCAGGTCACCGTTTGCGAAGCGGTTATTACGGGATACCCTGTTGATCCTTCCGTCAGTCGATCCGTGTAACGCTGGGGTAAGATGAAGCAAACCGATTGCTCGGACAAGTTGGAGCTGTCGTTCAAAGCGTGCTGCTGTATACGTTTCCGCTGCGAGACGAGACATATCGGAGGTATCTGACTCCTCCTGGTCCATGTGTACAGCTCCAAATGCTTGCACGAAGAGGATGAGGACATGTTGCAAGTGCTTGCGAAGTAGTGTCGCCAACTGCGGATCCACGTGTTTGACTGTTGAAAACATGGACGTTTCAAGAGTATCTTGTCGAACCTGATCCAGGACACTGCTGACATCGCTGAGGCCCCACGGTAGAGGGAAATGCCGCCTGTCGTCATCTTCCCCTTGCGGTGGTTGCAACGACCCAGAGAGTGATGGGAACGATGTAGTACCTGATTCGCAACAATGCTTGGCGCGTGGAGAGAAAAAGGTCGCCGCATGTGCCACATGCGGCGCAATCAGGTGCTTGGCTGCTTGAGCGTAAGGATGTAGGAGTTTACTAAAATCCTGGATCCTTACGCTCAAGCAGCCAAGCGCGTGATTTTACCGCAACCTTTTCTCTCCACCCGCCAAGCATTGTTGCGAATCAGGTACTACAACGTCTCCATCTCTCTCCGGGTCGTTGTAACCATCGCATGTGTGTGTGTGTGTGTGTGTGTGTGTTTCGTTTCGACTTTTCCTCTCTGATTGGGTGGAGCAATCAATAAGGTATCCCATCATCATATCCCATCATCCCAGCTGGTGAGAAAATAATACAAGACACAGATTTCTAGAGGGCAGGAGGGCGGCGAACGAATGTGTCCAGCCTCTTGGTTTCACAACCTGCTGAAAATTGAGCTTCAAACCCCACCACATTGTGTGTTTCGTGTACAGCGAGACTTGCTCATCATTGTCGGTTCGGTCTGCCTTTGTTGTGAACCACAGAATATTGTGTTCATCGCGGTATCGCGGGGCGGGAAGGCCGGAAACGCTTTCGTGAAACACGTGCTGTCCGTTTGTGCACGGAAATCGTCGACTCAACAACACGCTCGAGAATACACTGCGGGATTTGTCGGGAGAGTTGATCGGTCAAAACCTTGTATCGATCGGTGGCTCCGAGTTGTCGGCCGTCCCAACGTGCTGTTTTGCGTTGTTCTCCCTCTCTTCTGTGATGCCTTTGATTGGTCGGTGTTGTCCGGGCAGCCTGCAGGACCCTTTCACTGACGTGTTGGAGAAGCTTAACGTCACCGACCCCTTCGTGAAGAACTGGCTGAACCTACTGTGCTTCTTGCTGCAAGGATTGCCTTCGGACGGGACGATGACCGCAGTCATGGCCTACATGATCGCCGATTGGTGCAGGCCGGTGAGTGACTGCGTGTAGCGCCCAACAACCCTAACCTGACAGACGAATATTCGCGTCGTACGAGTGTACGTTTGTTCGCACGCGGCAAGGCATTTGTTCGCACCAAAACAGGCGCCACCTCCCCACCCCAGTCGGTGTTTGTCAAGGGGGACTTTGCCTGCGCAATCCGCCTTTGACTCCGTATGCTGTGCTCCCATGCGTTGCGAGGTTCGCTGTGGCTCGGCCATTCCCCAAAGTACACCCGACCCCCCCCCAGTACTTCACCACCTTTCCTTGCCCGCCCCAAACACCCACCATGTCGTCGCTTTCGGTTCCTGTTTCTCGTCCCTGACCGGCCTCCGGCTAATTTGTTTCCAACAACAGGGGGTGGTGCTAGACTACCCCAAGGGAGGCACGGAAGCTTTGGTAGATGCCCTAGTGCGAGGGGTGGAGGGGAAGGGCGGCAAGGTCATGCTCGCGGCCCACGTGGAAGAGGTTGTGGTGGAAGACGGCAAGGCGTGCGGCGTCCGCCTTAGGGGGCGGAAGGTCATCCGTGCGAGCAGGTGATTGGAGACCGCCGAGCAAGCATTTTCCTGAAAGCGAGTGCTCCGAAACCTACTTATTCTACGTATGCAGTGGCCTCCTTTTTGCGTCCCTCATCCCCTCCCCCCCCTCCCGGCGCCGCGGAGCAGGTCAGTCGTATCGAACGCGAGCATATGGGACACTCTGAGGCTTGTGCCCAAGGGTGCCCTGCCGGAAGATTTCGTGAAGGAGAGAGAGGCCACCCCGCAGTGCAAGAGCTTCATGCACGTGAGTGCTGTGCCAACGCGATCGCTTATTGCTTTCTACTGGTGTTGTAGAAGCTCAAATGTTGTTTCTTTTGTTTTCTTCCAGGTCACACGTACGTGTGTTTGGTCACAAAGCTCCTGTGCGTTCTGCCACCATGCTCTACTTGCTGCTCAGACTGCCTTTCGTGGCACAGAATGTGGGGCTTCGTGACTACGGTTGACCTAATAGCTGGTTCTCCATCTACAACCTCTGCTTTTCGTGTGAGGGAATCCGTAGTCTACCCCATTGCGCACAGGTTTGAGGTCCTCCAAGCGATACTCCAATAGTCCTTCTCAATCATTGCCACAACAACAATGTCTCCCGTATCGATGCATCATGTCTGGCAAACCCTAAACCTCCATTCCGCTGTAGAACAGTCGAAGACAATTGTATACTGTAGCTGTGAAGAAGAAAGGCGAGGTTCGGGTTGCCCCTATTCACGCCCCCGCAGGTGCACTTGGGAGTGCGTTGTCAAGACCTGATCGACAAGGCAGCGAAAGGGGGGGACGATGCGTTTGATCCCCGCTGTCATTACGCCGTGGTGGCGGACTGGGATAAGCCCATTGACGACGCGGGCAACGTAATTGTGGTCAGCATCCCGTCCGTTTTGGACCCATCCCTGGCGCCCCCGGGCTGCCATACGGTGCACGCCTATACGTGAGTGCGCCCAGACGATGCATTACATCGTGCTCGCCATATACAGGAAGCGTCTCGAGCGAAACCCCGGAATTGATTCCTGTGACTCCAGAACCACGACAGCTGATACTTGTTCCTGCTTGCACAGCGTACGCGACGATACCGCTGTCCCGAACCCATCGTTCCACATGCTGTAGAATTTTTGGTAGATTCGTTATTTAGGGTTATTCGTCTTCCTTCGCATGAAACTAACTTTCACGTTTTGGCATCTTGACCTTTGTCCGCGGCTATGCTACGTGTGCTGTTCTGGCTGCCAACACGATCATGACATTCTTGATACCCCCTAGGGCCGGTTGTGAGCCGTTCTCCAATTGGGAAGGGCTCGATCCGAAGGGCGAAGAGTACCGCAAGCTTAAGGAGGAGCGAGCTCAGGTCCTCATGGACGCCGTTGAGGTGTGTGGCGTGGGGTTGGTAGTTGCAGACATATTTTCAGTTCTGTGACGGGTTCTGTAGCAACGAACTGCCAAGGTGCAAGCGACTCGTTGATCGAGTGACTAGCCGGCCGGTGATTTTGTGTTGTTCTGGGTGACACTACAACATCGTGACTGCACGACCTGCTTGTCCGTTCTTTGTTTTTGTTTCCGTGAACCTTCTCTTAAGTTGGCTGTTCTCGTGCACCATCGCGGTGTGAACGTGCTTGCGTGGATTCCAGTCTTCACAAGCTTGAAAAATATTCTTATTGCTGTTGAGAGATGAAACCCTCGCGACCATTCCCCTCCGTTTCAACCTCTCTCTTCCTGAATTCCCGCACTTGCCCGTTGCATCAATGCTTGACATGTTTGGACGGCTCCTCTACGCAGACTGTCTTCCCCGACTTGGAAACTCGACTGGATGTCCGGATGATCGGAACGCCGGTCACCGCTCAGGTTTGACCACAAAGCAGACCTTTCCATATCGCCCGTACCAGGTTATTAGGCGGGACGAGAACCGCGATTCGGCACCACTGGTTCAAATGCCTCCCGACGGACCCCGGTTCTCCCTCGACCGGTGTCACGTGTGGCCGTGCCATAGGCGTCATTGAGCGCCCTCCCCAGTGATCGTTCGTCTCTCATCAACCAAGCACCCTCTGGGTTGTCGGACGGGCTGGGAATGCTGATTGGTGTTTTGATTAGTGCATCTTTCTGTTGGTTCGCTTGGCTAAGAACAGGGGAAGTGTGCCTCGGAAGGTTTTACCAAAGTGTTCTGGCTGTTCGGTTCTGGGCCGCGGCTCTTCGGTAGAGATGAAGAATATAACACGCGTGTTATTGTCGTTGGGAAGACAATCTGAAAACCATCATGTGGGTGCTGCTCGACATCGGTACACTGATTGCTGGGCATGGGTGTGCTGGCCTGCACGAGCTGAAATTTGTGAAGACGCGCACATGGCCTGTCGAGAGGTACTTGATGCAGCCGGTTGATTGCCGCGCGTGATTTTTCTTGGTTTCGACTATCCTTCGCTTCCTGGTTTGGGAGATCAGAACAGGGCTGTTTGGAGAGGTGGACGGGTTTCCGCCACGTTATTTTTCTATCGAACGTGTCGCATGTGGCTCACGAGGCGCCCAGACGCGGTATGTTATTTGCAATCACACGCAATCGGAAGAGCTTTGTGGCCGATCGACCGTGATCAACATCCTGCACGTTTCTGTTGGCGAGAACTATTTGAGAACATCCTGCAGTATTCTTTTGCCTAGAGGGAGTTTCTCAAAAGACAAGGCTCCCGATCGGCCGTTTATGTGAACGCACTCTGACCAGACTGCTTGCTGCTTCGCTGTCTCGATCGCTGTCCCGTACTTCGTACCCTCCAGCGTTTCCTGCGAAGAGACCGCGGAACCTACGGGCCGGAGATCAAAGCCGGTGAGATGAGATGGGCTGTATGTAGTCGTTACACTTTTCCTTCCTTGCAGAGGATAACTCTGGATGAGTCCCGAAATTGTTGTTGTGCACAGCTTACGTTTGGTCGCAGACAGCAGTCCCGATGCGGACGTGGGTCACTGTTCCAAACATGTCCACCGAAAGCTGGAACCGTTTAATGGCGAAAGACAAGCATGGGGACGAAAAATTGAGCACACGAATGAATCAGCTCCTCATCTCGCCCCAAGCGTCATTGATTGTTGGCACGCGAAGCGCAACGCCTGGCAGAAAGCATGCCTTGCTCGGTGCCGGCTTTGCACGGTGGGGGCCTATGGCCTCACGCTGCGGCCACGAATGTGTGCAACACTCTTACCTCGTTCATCAGACCGCATGTGCCGACACTGTGCTCGCCTGCCGAATTTGTTGTATTCCCGGTCGCGGCGCCCTCCCTCCAGGACGGGACAAATTTGCAGGGCCGAACACCCCCCTGCCGGGGTTGGTGTGCACGGGGGATTCCGTGTGGCCGGGGATCGGGGTCCCAGCGGTGGCGGCCAGCGGTACGCTTGTAGCGAACATGATGGTCAACCCACTCAAGCAGCTGAAGATGTTGAGAAATATTGACTTCGGGGGGGTTGGTGTTGAGTGATCGGGATATTACAAGACCGAGATGAAACAGGCCAACTGAAACGGTCAGAGCTCCTATCCCTATCGGTACTCCAGCTGCTGCTGGTTCTGAGCGTCGCAGTTTTCAGCCAGGCCTACTGCGTAAGACAAGATGTTGCGGCCTATCTGTTGCGTAGAAATGCGGAAAATGCCAGACGAGAATTGCAAGATGGAGAGAGGGAGCTAGAATTTGGCGAGCTGTTGAAGGGTGCTATTCTGACCCCCACCACACGTTACCGAGCACACACAGTACGCCCACGCCGCAGGCGTTGCTTTGTCCGGCACGTTGGGGCATTGGAAGCCAAGATATCGAGCACAACAGTTGTGCAACCTTCTTATATCCCTTTTTCCTTTACGAGGGGGTTCCGATCTCTCCGGAGGTAAGAATCTCGCGCTTTTCGAGTAGAAATCGCATAGTCGCGAGCGAGTGCACATTGCGAAGGGCGAGAGGGCTGCTGAATCTTTGTCGCGTCACACGTCGAAGGCGAACACAAGCACCGCAGGAGGAAAGGCGGAAAGAAGTCTTCCGTGTTGGTGTGTGGGACATGCTCCTGCGTGCTGTCGACCTTGAAATACAGACATGATTTGAGTACCAACAGAGGGGCATGTTCGCGTTTGGTTCGTGCATCACAAGCGGGTTTCGGGCTGGATTTTTTTGTCCAGAATCCACACACACACAGACAAAGCGTTGGAACGGAGAGATCCGCGCAAGTCTCGTTTTTTTTTCCTCGCTGAGGTTCAAGCAAGCTGAACTTTGGTCAAAAGAAACAAGTTGCCATTAAAAAAATCTGAAAAATCCTAAAGCCCTCAATTCTGAAGCTTCAGCTTCAGTCTCATCTTTCAATATCCGTGGAACTTTTATTCGCATAGCCCACCCCTTGCCCGACCCTGTCTCAAATGCCGATCTCGAGCTACAGTGTAAATCTCGTGGCGCCTTGAGTATGGTGCGGTGTGGAATCGCAACCCATGAGCCGTCCCCAAGTTTGAGCAGCTTCCGCCTCCTGTGGCCGGCAAGAGTCGACCTTGACTGTTCCTTGCCCTGTTTCGCCATGGGAACGGCCGGTTGAACAGCGAAAGAGGGGAGGGTCCTGCGTGATGCGCGCCACAATCTTTTTTATTTATTTTTTGCGTTTGTTCTTGAGTGGCCATTGTACACATGCGGCTGCTGCTGCGGTTGCTGCTGCTGTGCTCGGAATGTTCTGCAATGGTCGTACGGTTATCGTAGTCAGGTTTGACAACAGTCTGCTCGTTCGTATAGCAGTAGCGGTGCGCATCTATCGCGACGGCAAGCGCATTGAGATAATAGTTCGTCCGTCGTGCTTCTAGTCTACACAGACAGATAGTGGTGTTCTTCTTTGTTGCCACTTCATACCAGAAAAGAAAGAAAGTCTCCACCAACTTACAGTATCTCCACAGCAGTTCGGAAACGACGATTATACTATTTTTCTTTTGCCGTGTTTGTTGTTGCTGAGCGCACATCGGCGGATGTCGCCGTTCGTTACACGTGGTTCAAGCCTGCGGTGGGCCAGAGGGATGAGAGTGGGTGTCTTCTCTAGAGTTCATGCCTTGTCTTCTCGAGTCTCCCTTCCTTTAGTCTACCTCTCTCTCTGTGTGTTGCATTTTTGCCGTTAGGGTCCCAACAACATCGAACTTCAATGGCAATCGTTTTGCATCTTGCTGAGTAGGAGGCTATCCGTGTACCCGGTTGCTGCATGTGAGGCGATGGGCGCCGCCTCTTTCCGCCAAGCAATGCGCATGGCCCCTACGGTTCGCCGCACATGTATTGCTGTGTGACAGCTTCCAGCGGTTCAGAGCGGCGACGATGTTTTTCGCCGGTAGGGCCCCAGAACAACGCGAACCGCGACTGTTTCATTGTTTTGGAGTCCCCCACTCACCCAACCCACCCATGATTTTTTTTTTTTTGTGTTTCCCTGCCGACTAACAACCTCGGCTACTGCAGTGCAGTTTGTTATAGGCTCAAGAATTCTGGCATTATTTTTCTAATCTTCTACGTGAAAAATGATGAAAACCCGAGACAAAATAGATCACATGTAGACGAACCGTACCTCCACTCTTCTGGGTCCCGCCCCTACGATGTCCCTATACGCTACTCGAATTCACGACTCAGCCAATCCGGTACGAGAATAGCCTCTTCCGAGCTATCTGAAAACCACTATTTACACTACTACGTGGAAAACTACACGACGTTGACCCGATCAACTTTGTGCAACCTGATTCCCTCCCTCTCTTGAGCGCTAGGGTGGGCGGGTGGGAAAATCGATCAAGGCCCTAACTTCCACGCTCCTTCCTCTCGCTACCTCAACTATTTGTTTGACTGCACTAGCGTTCTCTTCCCCGAGACGCGGGTGCACAGGAAGACTGAAGACTTTGCACGCAGGGGACGCTCAGCGCCCGTCCCCTGCTTTCTTTCGAATTCAACAACGCCTTCCACAAACAACGCTTTCCTTCTGAACGCTACATTTTGTTATAGGCTCAAGAATTCTGGCATTATTTTGCTAATCTTGTACGTGAAAAATGATGAAAACCCAAGACAATATAGATCACATGTAGACGAACCGTACCTCCACTCTTCTTCTGGGTCCCGCCCCTACGATGTCCCTATACGATACTCGAATTCACGACTCAGCCAATCCGGAACGAGAATAGCCTTTTCCGAGCCATCTGAAAACCACGCCATTGTGCAGGCTGAGTGTACTGTTTTACTCTCTTCTTCCTCCTGTAAGTCCCACGGAAACCGCTTCTGCTCCTTCTCCCGCTTCCCTTACGTACACCATGAACGCTCGCGACTTCCAGCGCCTAGCCCGCGGAATCTGCAAGTCCGACACGCCTTGCGCGGCTAATTGCGTGGCGCCACCAATGCGACCCGAGTGCAATGCGTACTGTGCCGGATCCTTCCCTGCACAAGCAACCATCCTCCTCAGCGCGACTACAGCTTCCAAGCGAGTAACCACCTTCCACCCAGATGCACCCATCCTCGTCATCAAAGGGGCACGTCCGGGAAGGCTCGGGTGTACGTTCAGGAGCTCCACGATCGCTTCGAAGGCTCCGAAAGGCGCCCTACCAGATTCCTCCGACCCGGGCTGCGGGTGCGTGTGATCGTGCATCCCTCTCGATTCTGATCTGCTTTTGACGCCACGAAATGGATCCTGACTGAATCCGCACGCGCTCTATCTTCAGTCTCCACTTGAATGTCTCCTTGAAAGAACCTCAAGCAGTCACGCGTCAAACAGAAATCTGGATGGACGAGGCCGTTCGCGTACGCGAACAATTCGGAAGCTCGGCACAGGAGAAAATACGACAGCGTCAGTCCTAACCAGAAAACGTTTCCTCTTTCCTCCATCCGGAGCGCTCGCAACCGTGTGGTAGCCTTGCGACAACATCGACCACGTGAGGGGCAACCTCACTTGCGTTTGCTTGCCCGTCATCCCTCGAAAGCGATCAATCCCTTTCCCTGCCGCCGTAATCATACAGTGCGACGTGGGAGGCTCCCACCCCGTACATAGCTTATGGTAAAACTTGATAGCCGCAAGGTATCCCCGAACTGTGGACTGCTGGTTGTTGAACGAAAACAAACGACACGTCATAAATTCGAGGAGGAGCGCGATGATCTCGGGCTTGTCCATCGAATTCAACCATGGTTCTTTGCCCTTGTGTTGCATAAATTCCAACCACGTCTTCCACTTCGCGGCATACACCTTGTGCGTGCTTCCCCCGATCGACGCGCTCACTAAAGTATCCACCAACCGCGCGACTTCCGTGCTCATCCCCCCTTCTTCCTGCCCTGTTCCTGAAGCGTCCGTAAGCGGAGGGTTCGAGGAAACGTTGGAGGTCACGGGGGTTGTTTGGTCGATGATTTTTAGTGAGGTGTCGTCATGAGATTCCACAACGTTCGATCGTGACGGGGTTGTAGGTTCTTTTTCCGCAGTACGAAGGAACACACTTTTTCTCCGCGTGAACCGAGTGGTATCTTACGCCAATCGTTTGTGTTGGTGAATTGTCGGACCCTATCGGCTAGTTCCGACCTCGGCCATCGAGAGATCCCGTCCGCGAGCGTGTTTTTTACGCCCGGGAGGTGTTTTTGCCTCGTAACTCCATTCTCCCGAAATCTCGAGACGTCCTAGCATTCTCATCATCAAACACGCGCGTTTGTCTCTGGCCCCGCCGCACCGGTTTGACCATGTGACGGCCGCCATGTTGTCACCGCGCATCAAGACAGGGTCGTTGTTATTTTTTGGGCGATCCCCTACGAGACTGTGCATTACCCAGGCGGTCACTACCATGCCCACGAGTTCGAGTAGATTGATCGTGACGCTGCAGGTCTCCCGACGCGCGGCCTTTTGTTTCAATTCGGTTGCGAAGTCCAAGGGCAGGTCGTATCTCCAAAACACCCTTTTCTCTGGACAGAAGCCGCCAACGGCGTCGAAACTAGCGTCTGATAGATAAAGTCGATTTGGCTGGCGTTTTACGACACCGTACCACGGGGCGTTCAGCGACTCTCTAGCTGTGAGCAATTCGTGTTCGATTGCCCCCTGACAAAATCCAGGTCGTCGTGGAACTCTCTCCCTAGTTCTACAACGCGGCTACAGTTTCTCGTGTGTTTCCTGTGGAGTCCTGTGAGTCTCAACAACCTCCAGACGAAGTACCTTCCGGCCCGAACCACGTACGTGAGGTTCCACAGCTTCCCGGCTATGCTAAACACTTCTTGCGCTGTCGCTTCACGCTTGTGGCGCGGCCAGTCGATTTCTAAGGCTGTTTTTATCGCCTCTGCTTTCTTCGTCGTCAAAGAGATTTTTAGCTCGTGCGAGTCGATGGCTAACCCTAAGAATTCAAGCTGCGTGTCCCAGTTCGAACTCTTCTTCGGCCCGAGTATAGGAGTCTCCCCCGGTTCTCCCGGGCCGAACAAGCGAACGTAGTCTGATGCTAAAGACGCGGACACAGTCAGCGCTGACAGGTCGTCGGCCGATTGCTGGGTTCTCAGGAGGCCGTGATCATCTACGTAAACGACTGACATGAAATTGCTCGACCGATCGCCTCCTTTTGTGGCGTGAACTGTGGCGTCATCCAGCACGGGCGTAGGGTCGCCTTCCTCCCACGGTTCGATGATTCTTACGTGATTCATCATGTTAGCCGGTCCAACCGAAGGTCAGGCGGAAATTGATGACGACGAGGTCGCCGACTACGTCGCTGAAGTTGTGTGCTTGCTCAGGTTCTACTCGAACGTTGCGATAGGCGTCGTTGACGTCCGTCGTTGACATGAGGATGCGGAGCGTTGGGTTTTTGGCTCGCAGGCTAACTAGCTCCGACAGGAATTTTGGCAGGGCTTCGGCGCAGAGGCTAGGGGGTACACTGTCGACGTCTGCGTCAGCGTTGAGTCCTCCTTTTACTCCTTTGATGTCAACGTCGAAACGCAAGTCGTTGATTATCCTAACCTTGTGGGTAACGACCGCTCCCAGCGGCGACACGCGCAGGTTTGGGATTTCATACGCCGCCGATTTTTGAATAACGAGGCATCTCTCTCTACGTCCTCTGCGAGTTTTTTCCAAATGACTGGTAGGTGCTCGTCAGCCGACCGGTGGTTTCCGTAGTTCAGCGCGCTTGCAAGGTCGGCTTTGGACGGGGGGGCAATCACTGGTACCCCTCCAGTAACGATTGTCATCAGCTCTTCGATCTGTGAAAACCTTTTAGGTCCCCGAAATATTGTCTGACGTGGTTCGGGTCTACCGGTGGTGTAACCAGGGTTCCGCCGAGCGACCGTGCTACCTTCCCTATCGAACCACGGTTGTCTCGCATCATTTGCGTGCAAACCTCTGCTAGTTGATACATAATTCGTTCTCTCTCTGGTTGTTCGAGGTTTGTTTTTCCGAGTGTTGCTCTGTCCTCGTGCCACCTCGCCACGTGTTTTCGCTGTGTTTCACTGCGCCCTTGGCCCTTGGGAATCGATGATGACCCGACGTGGGGAGGGCTACGATGACGCAAGACTCGCTGTTCCGTGCTGTTGGTCGAGCGCAGTCCTACAAGTTGTGTATTGCGCTGGAGCTGCTGCGTGGGGGTGAAGTGTGCGTGGTGCGTGAGAGACGGTTGTCGTCGTAGTGCCGACCCTTGGACCTTTTCTGGTAGGGTGGGACTTCGAGGACAGGTCGTGTCTGACGCGCCAGGCGCGGTGACCGAAGTGAGACGCGTCGATTGTGCCTTGTCTGGTACACGTGCCTCGTGGGATTGTGTGCGAGACGGGTGATGCGTCGCCGCTGACGCGTTCAAGGCTGCTGGCGGCGGTGGAGACGTTGGCTGCAGCGCGTCTGACACTGAGTACCCCGGGGGGCGTGTGAGAGGCGAGGCGAGCCCCGTGTCCGAATCGCCGACTTCTCGCGTTGTGGTAGAGACGAAAGTCTCCCTGTGTCCGACACACCTACGTCTGCGGGTTGTGTGGGAGACAGGTGACATGACATGTCTATCATTCTGGTCAGCGGTGATGCCCGTCGGCCTGCTTCGCGTGTTCGTGGCGGGATCTCGTCAATTCGTGTAGGAAACGGTGGTTGTGTCGACATTTCGAGGGCGCCGGGCCTGGAGTGTGGGGACAACCTACTATCCGATCGTACAGGTGGGCGAGATTCGGCTACGTCGAGGTTTGTGGAGCTACCAGACGGGTGCGTGTGGTTGGTCCACCTATGCCTTGCTGCGCGACCGCTGCTGCTCAACGTGAGTTGTGTATTGCGCTGGAGCTGCTATGTAGGGGTGAAGTGTGCGTGATGCGTGAGAGATGGTTGTCGTCGTAGTGCCGACCCTTGGACCTTTTCTGGTAGGGTGGGACTTCGAGGACAGGTCGTGTCTGACGCGTCAGGCGCGGTGACCGAAGTGAGAAGCGTCGATCGTGCCTCGTCTGGTACACGTGCCTCGTGGGGTTGTGTGCGAGACGGGTGATGCGTCGCCGCTGACGCGTTCAAGGCTGCTGGCGGCGGTGGAGACGTTGGCTGCAGCCCGTCTGACACTGAGTACCCCGGGGGGCGTGTGAGAGGCGAGGCGAGCCCCGTGTCCGAATCGCCGACTTCTCGCGTTGTGGTAGAGACGAAAGTCTCCCTGTGTCCGACACACCTACGTCTGCGGGCTGTGTGGGAGACAGGTGACATGACATGTCTATCATTCTGGTAAGCGGTGATACTCGTTGGCCAGCTTCGCGTGTTCGTGGCGGGATCTCGTCAATTCGTGTAGGAAAACGGTGGTTGTGTCGACATTTCGAGGGCGCTGGCCCTGGAGTGTGGGGACAACCTACTATCCGATCGTACAGGTGGGCGAGATTCGGCTACGTCGAGGTTTGTGGAGCTACCAGATGGGTTCGTGTGGTTGGTCCACCTATGCCTTGCTGCGCGACCGCTATATTGCTCAACTTGAGTTGCTCACCGTGAAACAGGGCCGGCGAAACCGACCCCGGCGTGGGCGCGTCCCGAGGCCCCACGGACCTGGCGACGTCGGCGAACCAGGTACCAGCGTGTCCTGACTCCCCTTCCGCACCTACTGTCGGCCCTGCCGTATGGCAGAGCCCAACCTGTCAGAAACCTCCCCCTCCCCCCACCGCCCCTCCCTCCGGCGCCGCGCTCCTGGTTCCCTCCTCCACCGCCCCTGCCACCGTTGACCGTCATGCTGAAGCTGCCCACACTGGGCTGACGGAGCTGCGGCTGCTGCTGCTGCTGCTGCTGCTGCTGCTGCTGCTGCTGCTGCGATGGTAGCGGCTGCGGCGCCGCCGCCTGCTGCGGCGGGGCCTGCGGGGGTGGCGGGACCTGCGGGGTGGGGAAGCGGCGGAGGTGGCGGGGGAATGCCGCCGGCGGGTTGTTGCTGCTGTGGCTGCTGCTGCTGTTGTGGCTGCTGCTGCAGCTGCTGCTGCTGCTGCTGCTGCTACTGCAGGATCTGTCCCTGCTGCGCCACCTGTTGGTGTAAGGCCGCCATTTGAGCTTGGTGAGCGTTCATGAACTGGGTGAGCATGGCCTGGATACCGCCGATTGGGTTCGCGCCGGCACCCTCCTCTGGTCCGTTGTTTGCAGGGGGGGCGTCGCCGCCGTTGTGCTCGGCTGCCGGCGGAGCGGCTGCAGCTGCGGCTGCGTCGGCGGCTGCGACCACGGCTGCGGCAGCGTTTACAGCGGCGGCAGCGTCTGGGGCGGCGGCGTTGGCTGCAGCGGCGTTGGCTGCGGCGCCGTCG